AACCACCGATCTAGCGATCAACTGATCCACCGATCTAGCGACCTACAGAACCACCGATCTACTAAACCACCGATATAGCGATCTACTGATCCGTCGATCTAGTGATCTAGTGATCAACCGATCTAGCGATCTCCAGATCCACTAATGATCTGATTTACCGATCTTCCAATGTAGCGATCTGGTGATCAACGTATCTAGCCATTTACTGATCCACCTACCTTGCGATCTACTTATCCACCGATGTAGGGATCTACTGATCCACCGATCTAGGGATGGACACATCCACTTATTAAGTGACTACCGATCCACCGATCTAGGGATCTACTGATCCACCGATCTAAAATTATCTTATTATCTAAAAATTAAATCTTATTATCTAAAAATTATCTAAAAAGGTCGCTTCCGGAATTGGAGCAATAAAAAGAATTAGACCTTTTGTCCCTCCACCTACCCTTCACTATATATACAACTCACTAATTCAATCTCATTTCGATTATTGCAATCTTGTCTGGGGTAATTGTGGTAAAACATTATTTGACAGGCTACAGAAGCTTCAGAACCGTGCCGCTCGCGTTTTAACCTTCTCTAGCTATGATGCTGATGCTAACCGTTTGATTAGACAACTCGATTGGAAAGACTTGAGCACTCAATTTCAAATACAGAAATCCATAATGGTATACAAGTCTTTAAATGGCCTTGTTCCTGAATATTTATCATCTAAGTTTGTTAAACGAAATGAAACGCGTTACTCCCTGAGGGACTCTGTTAACAAACTATTTGTCCCATTTCCGCGAACTAATTTCATGAAAAACAGCTTTACTTATAGCGGAACAGTTCTCTGGAACAGCCTACCCTGTCATGTGAGAGAAGCCGAATCTCTTAGTCAATTTAAAAGATTAGTTAATGTTCATTTTTAATGTTATACACGGCATTCATGAAAAACAGGTTTTAGTTAGATTAGTTGTAGTCAGGTTTTGAATTTTGTTTACGATAGTTAGGTTATTTTTAATTTTTTAAATTCCTGATGGATTTTACCGTGTTTAAATAAAGATTGACTTGACTTGACTCGATGTAGGAATCTACTCATCTACCGATCTTGCGATCTGCAGATTCACTTATCAATTGATATACAGATCCACTGATGTAGCGATCTACAGATCCACCGATCTAGCGATCTCCTGATCCACGGATATAGCGATCTATTTATTCACCGATTTAGCTATCTACTGATCGACCGATCTAGCGATCTACTGATCCACCGATCTATCGATCTACAGATCCAACGATCTTGCGACCTGCTGACCCACCTATCTAGAGATCTACTGATCCACCGATCTAGCGACGTACAGATTTGCCGATCCTGCGATCTACTGATCAACCCATCTACCGATCTACTTATCCACCGATCTCGTGATCTCCTGATCTACCGATCTAGAGATCTACTGATACAGTGATCTTGCGATCTTTTGATCCATTGATCTTGCGATCTACTGATAGGTAAGTAGGTAGGTAGGTAGATCCTTTATTTAAAATCCGATGAAATCTTCAGTAATAATAGAGTAAAAATCTCTTTACAATTAATTAGACTAAAAACTAGCGACATACTGTTTTACAAGACTGCCGAGTGAGAGTCCGTTGAACCCGAAATCATGCGAAATAGCTTTAAATTACGCGCTAAAGCCATCTTTCCTCAAATGCATATTTGAATTCATGTTAAATACACTGAGCTCCACCAGCGTCAAACAGCGTCTATGGCAGAAAAAATGGTTTTGATATAACAAAATTAATTCTCTAAAACATGTTTGGCACTGTGGTGCAGTGGGCAAGGAGTTGCTTGGACGTGCAGATGAACCAGGTTCTACTCCCGGCGATACTGTTTTCTGTTTATTTGTACGGATTTTTTCTGTTTAGTCTTTGTTTTTTAATCTTATATTTCCTTTTGGCCTGTTTTCCTTCATGATTCTTACTGCTGACCCTTTAGAGCTTTGCGAGGTTTTTGCAATAACGTATTTCTAGTCTGAGGCCCGTTTCAAACGTCGTGCTACTGCCGTGCCGAACTCAATTGACCGAATTTAATTCGACTTTAGCATGACAGTAGTGCGACGTTTGAAACCAAGTCGTGCTACCAAGCCGTGTAGCAAGGCAATCCTTGCCATGCTACACGGCAGTAGCTCGACTTGGTTTTAAACGTCGTGCTACCGCCGCGCCGAATTCAATTCATAAATTATAAATACATTAGAATACATTAAAAAAGTTTGCTAAAGCGTTTCTTTATTTCTGTGTTTTGTTTTCGAAAACAGTTGTTCTATTCGACTGACTGAAACCAAGTCGTGCTAGTGTCGTGCTGTGGTCGAGCCACAGTCGAGCCAGCTTAGCACGGCAGTAGCACGACGTTTGAAACAGGCCTTTAAACGGATAATCAAAGCGTTCCTAAAAAATAGGCAGTCTATGACTGCATGTGGCTTACTGTATAGCTTCACCTCAATAAGGGACGACGTCTCACATTTGCAGACTTCATACAGCATTTAGTATAAGCTAAATCAAAGTGGAATAACCACAAGGAGACCAGAGTAGAACAAATAGCAAGAAAAGTGTGGGTATGCAGTCCTGCAAGTGAGACATCGTGATACAAGGGGTACATGTCTCACTAATGTTTAATAGGTACCAGTCCAACAGATAAGTCAGAAAATAACAAAGAGTTGAGTTTGACGCAACGTAATTGTTTTTATTTGAGATCGATGCTTGCTTAAGGTTTGTATTATATGTAAACCATCTATGAATCTTAAAAGCCAAATAACTATTTTAATTATTTCAAGTAACACTGTTAATAAGACAGGGCAACAGCGCTAAAAGGAAACGATGCTAAAAATTACTAACACGGTTAAACAATACAACTACGGTCGAGCCTCCATGTGCGACCACCTCTCGTAAGCGACCACCTCCCATAAACGACCGCTAATCCAAAGCACTAAAATTTTCCCAGTCAAAGCCTTACAGTTGGAACCTCTAGTAAACGACCACCTCCTGTAAGAGACCGCGACCACTTTTTGGGCATGACGGTCAATGATTTTCCATTGTCTTTAAGAAACAGTCCAGATAAGAACGATAGCAACAACGGCAACGAACATGTTGGAATGCAAAAAAGGTGCTAACTTTTCTATTGTCTGTACTTACTTCTGATTGGCTTAAACAGCAAAAGTTAACAAAACTTCATAAAGCGGTACATATATTCATCCTTACTTTCCAACCATCTTCCATATAGCAAAATCTGGTCTCAATTTGAATAACAAAGAAATCCTATGTGGGGAACATGTAAAATTGTAAACTTTTCTTGGCTATTGTTCTCAACTCTTGTGATTAGTCAAAATCTTTAAACACAAAAAAACACCCTTTCAAAGTGGAGTGTAAATGCATTTTATTGCGTAAACGGCCTTTATGTAGGTTTATGCATTCTCTGTGTAAAAATGACAACATTCCTTTGTGGGGAAAGCATCGTTGCCGCATAACAAAAGAAATTGCTATCCACCTTACCCGGATCATTACTTAACCTCTTGTAAACGACCACTTGACACATTCTCTTATATCTATGTTCGTTGTGTGCACTATGCTATTTAGAATATACGAAGAACTTTAGTGAGAACACGGAACTGGAGATGTCTTAACTAAGACATCGCATGCAATAAATTATCTTCCATGAAGAAGATGTTCCAGGACCTCTTCTCGGAAAAGGCTCCCTGTGGTTCGATTCTTGTAAGCAACCACTCAGTTGTTCCATTTTAGGTGGTCACTTACGGGAGGTTCGACTGTAGGAGAGTAAAACTGCACTATAATGTAAAAAGGAAAACAAACACGCTAAGGAACATGCTATGTCACGAAAGAAGGGCAAGCGTGACAAATAGCACGTGACCGGTGTCACTGAAGAGTCATATCATACGAAACAAGAGACGAAAACAACAAAAACTATACTAAACGAACTGAGCTTGTGATCTAGGATCTCTCACAAAAACGTGGCACAACAAAGAAGAACACTAAGCTGAAGGAATAACAACGGCTTCGTTTAGATGAATTATATATCTGTTTTGACTCTTTTGTTGAATAGTAGCTTTAGATTCTTCTCACCAGACGAATCGTGTTTTCTATAGAGTTTAATATGATTTGCAGCAATACTGGATAAAACAGACGAAACAGGGACTGCTTTTTTAAGCATTTTCTTAAGCGTCTGTCTTAGATTATTCGCTCCCCTTGAAGGAGATAATCCGCTGCCCGAAGGACTTGACTCTTGATAAGGTTTTGAGATCGCCACGAGGCAAAGATGTTCAGCTGCACTAATTACCCGATCGCGCTTCGATGGAGTAATACATTTTCTGGAAAACTGGTAACTGAATTCTCTGCTAACAAGTTCTCCATAAATGCGAAGACAGCTGCATTTGATTCTTACACCTAATTATATAGATAGTGTAAACTCATTATGAATGAAGAACTCACCTTCCATTGGCGACGGCGACAAAATTAACCTCACATGGTAAATCGCTAATTTCTCGTGTGATCACGTATTAATTCCGAGTAACATTCGAGGCTATTCGAAGCTATCCTCGACAAACGTTGAACAACCGACGATGTTCCGAAACAAAAAGGGGCTAAGATCGGTGAATATCGGATCGAAATCGGTAGAGTTCGTCGGCTCGGATTTTTTTGTTACACTCAATCACTCAACGCGATAACATTGTGGCGTACAGCCTCTAAGAGGCAGTAAGCCACAAAAAGCAGTCTCTGTAAAGATAAGTTTCTTCTCCAAGAAGCCATTACAAAAAAAAGAACAAAAACTCTTGTATATTTCAAATTCCAAATCAAAACTGTGCGGTCTAAACCTTTCCAGCTTTACAGGCCATTTGTCGAGTCTGAAAGTGATCTCTTGCAGAAACATAAGAGCCATGATCCTCCAAATTCTAAAACAGGCTGCTCGTTAGGGTTAGATTCTTGCCACAAAGCTTTAGGTATGCTTAAAGTTTCAGCTCCTTTTGCCGACGTCTTGGTACTTTGCGGCATATGACGATAAGAACAATAAGTAAGGTTACACCTACAGCACCGAATACTCCCGTTAAGATGGCGAGTATCATCACCAGTGTATCTAAATTGGAGAAAAGACAGTCAACTACGAACCGTAAATGACCTAATAAACGCCCTCTCTGTGCTGTTAACATTTTATTAGACGCCTCCTATGACAATTACTCCAAAATACTAGAAATTAGCAAAAAGGAGCAAAATCATTGAATTCATTCAGTTTCTTTCGGCGCGGCGCAGCTTTGCTCCGATACAGAAATTGCGACGAAATGACCGCTCTTATGTGTCAACAGAAACCCTATCTGGTCTGGTTTTCGTGCGGGCAAAAGAGGTATCTAGTATGGCCTAATATATATAGATAGATACTTTTTTAATCAGGTTTTCACCTGATGTACACAGATAACATACGCGTTCCCCTCAACCAAAAATTGAACAAAAAAAATTGAACAAAAATTCAGTAAAGATTAAATATACAAAATTCTAGAAAGTGATATTAAAAAAAGTAGTTACAAACATTATGATCGTGAAAGGCACGTTTTAAGTTTGAGCGAAAAGGCCTAAAGAGCACCGCCCCGTGACGCCACCATTCAGAGTGAAACTGAGGGAAGTTGAAAATTATAACCTCAGTCATTGATTGTCACAGTTTTCTCGTGTATTGATTATTATGCCCACAAGTGGTTTGACACTTGCGTCTTCGAATATGACTCGCAAGTCAATGCTTGAGAACGGTATTATGGTAAACGTTTCGCTGTAACAGCTGTCAAAAGATGTAACAGTGTACAGAATATACGTGGTCATGCCTATCTTATTAAATACCTCTTTTCTTAAAATGTATTGGTTTTTCCCGTTTTCACGTGCATATAAAAACTAACCTGATTCTATCCGCTCTACATGTATATCATGACATTTTAAGAATCCAAAGTTAGCGAGGATCCTTGCTAGTTTGACATTTTTAATACGAAGAAATACTCACCATTCTTATCATCAGGTATTGCCTCAGTTGTGGTCGGCTCAGGGCTTTCTGTGGTTGGTTCTTCCACTAACTGATCTGGTAGAAACTCATTCCACAGCGCCATCTTTTCTGGACGCATTTTGGACCTAACTGTCAAGTTCGCTCCCAGGCCAATATATTCCTCTCGCTCAGCTGTGTACTGCGGCCACGTTGTCTCCAAAGGTGTCGGAGAATTGGGATTCCTAGCAATATAAGACAATGTGTTTTACCCACTTGACTATATCAAGATTCTTAGATGGTTTGGTTTAGTTTATAACGTAGTCACGCCAGTGACCTATGACTATGCCAATACCTTTGCCTCTGGGTTTTTATTACAGAAGCCTAACGTATTAGATTAAGCCTAGCACGAAATTATACACTGTAACACTAATCTTCCTTCAAGAAATATTGGCCAAATTGAGACTTCCCATGAAATCAGGGTTAGTGTTGTGTCAAATTGCCTTCTGGGACGCAATTCCATTCATTCAAATTACAATCAAACTTCTGTTAAGCTTGGCTGGGAGTAGTCCCGCATTTCCTCAGGGACAGTAGATCCAGCAAAAAACGCAAGCGCACGTGAAAACTACGACGCGCGAGGAAGGTTGGCCTATTAACAGGTTCTCTTGGCCTTTAGGACAGCCAAGAAGGTCGAGGGAGAAAGGGCATACCTCATAGTGCCCCTGGGAGTCTGTTCGCAGGCTAGATGAAGTTGACACGAGGAGAGAATCAGGAACTACTCGTGATCTATTGTTATGTGTTGTGGCCCCCGAAGAAAGTGAGCGTCTTACAGGGTTCGTACCCTTTTTATGAACAAAAAATTCAAGGACTTTCAAGAACACATTTTTTATTTGTCAAGGACTCAATTTAGTGCAAAAAAGAGCCTTGAGTCTATATATTTTTAGTTCTTCCACAACACGAGTAATTTAATCCCAAGGTCTCTCTGTGTTTGCTCCTTTTTCTTTGGAATCTACTTAAACTATAAAGGTAGCATTGAAATTCAAGGATTTTCCAGCATCGACTGCAATCATTCAAGGACTTTCAAGGTGCGTGCGAACCCTCAGGTCTTATAAAAATTGACCGCTTAAAAGAGGGCGGGTATCCCATAAACGATATTAGTATCCTGCTCAAGTAATCAATGTTAAGGTGAATGGCTCAGGGTAATCTTAAAAGGCAGTATCGGTAACTGAGGAGGCGGTTATTACTTGGAAGTTCCTGGAAAGTACCAACTCACGTCATTCAAGAAAACAAGTTTTCTACCACTTGGCCTGAAACGGAAGCCAAGTAAAGTTCTAAAATTTTTACTTACCCAGTCTTGGCAAAATTACTTCACAGCGTCATAAAGCTCTTAGCAAATCTGACTTGAATTTCACTTGTTTGATTTTTCTGCTTCACAAAAGGAAAGCCAAACGTGTACAAAACATCTGCCCCGTGATATATCCCGTAATATTCTGGTATGGGAATACCAAGCGCAAACTTGGGAGCTATCTCGAGTTGGTAAAAGTACGTTGGAACTTGCTTCTTCACAAAAAATTCCGCAGACTCCACAGCGGGAGCTTTGAAGAACGAGTCTGTAAAGAGATGGATGAGCTGCTTGCGTAGCACATAGGGATTGCTGACGTCAGACCAGTTTGTGTATTCATAAATAAGCAAGTCTGTGATTCTTTTGGTTTGATGCCGAGTCCAAAGTCTGTTCCTTATCTCTTTCTTGAAGAGTGCCCTTGAAATGCCGTGTGAAATGTTGAGACCTTTAGTATTACCTTAAATGCAAAAATATTTCAAATATTTGAAGCAATGTGTAGTTCCAGAAAATATCCATACCCCTAGGATGGAAATTTCAGGGGGGTGGGGTTTCTAAAGCAAAAGTGCCCTCCGTTAGGGGAGGGGGGTATGGTTATTTTTTGGAACCACACAATACGGAGAAAAATATGCTGATAAGTTTGTGTAAATTAAGTTTAGGAATTTTTGGGTTAGGGCTTGAAGCATTTTCTGACGCAAGAGTGCCCAGACAGGTTTACTGCTAACTCAAGTGTTTATACAGGCGATCCATTTTTACTGTAGAGTAAGTCACTGTTATAAAACGCAAAATTTTATTGTCAACTGTTATGCATTTGATAGTGCCATCTATCTTTTGAGTGTCCGGACCCTCTTTGGAAACAACGCGATGGCAATGTTCAATGCCTATCCCACAGAAGTGTTATCACAACGTCTCAATCAGTTCAGGCTATAAGCTGATTAATTTCCGTCTCGAACTTGTTTGACTAATAATCGTGGGATAAGTGGATAGGATTTTTACCTAGTATCAGTTTTAATAAATTGCCACCATCATCCCGCGTTACCCCAACAATGACATTCGTAGCGTTGAACTTTCCAGCTTGTAAGAGCTTTGGAGGAGAATCTAGAATTAAATAAAAATGATGATGATATGATGATAATGATGATTGGTGATGATGAATAATGAGCATTCCCAGAGGGTATTTCTGTAACCTACAAGCGGGGTCTGTGTAGGAGTGGTGAGAATTTTTTTCTCTCCTCAGGTTATTCATTTATTCCATACAGAAAGAAACATTCTAGTAAATTTTGGTGTCAGACGGTTACTATGGGTTACGAGATATGACTTCTCAAAAGACACGATTATCGTTGAGAAAAAATGCAAGTTGTCGCACTTTTTTGAGTAAAACACGCACCAATGCAAAATGTTTAATAACAAGACGGTGTGGGAGCGTATATTTTGGCGTCGTTGTACTTGACGTATTTAAAATGTTTAATGTATATTAGGGGTGTGTGAGTAGTGCAGTAGCGTTGTATATTTTAGGGGTTGGTTGAGATGTGGGAGAGGGAATCTCAAGAATGTGGACAGATCGAGAAAAATCTCTCTATACAGTAAAATGCCGCTGACCAAGTGAAGATTAGGCTGCGGGCTCCTCTTGTAGCCCGCAATTAATGGCTAACATCAATTAGCTCCTATGAAATCATCAAACTGCCGAAACAGGCCTTTGATGTTGTAGATCATGACCTTTTAGTAGCCAAACTACAAATGTATGGTTGCTCCTCGTCAGTATTACGGTGATTCAAAAGCTACCTGTGAGACCGTCGACAGTGTGTTAACATTGCAGGAACCTTATCTGATACTGAAGTATTGAAATCTGGAGTTCCCCAGGGCTCACTTTTGGGCCCTGTCTTTTTCCTCCTATTTATCAGCGACCTGCCTTTAACCTGGAAGAATAGAAACGGCCTATTTGCTGATTATGCTACTTTCTATGCTAGTGCCTTAAATCTGACTGATGTTCAGTTACAACTTCAACAGGATCTTTCTAATACGACGACATGGACCAAAGATCATGGCATGGCTGCCCATCCGCGAAAGACAAAATTCATGATAATTGGTACTCGACAAAAGCTTTCCCGCTGCGAAGAATCTGCCCTTTCGCTGTGTTTGGATGGTAGGCAGCTGGAGCAAACTCAAGAGGAAAGTCTCTTGGGACGACCTCTCCCTATCTTAGTCATCCGGCGGCACGTAGCTTATCTCAGGAAAAAAATCTCCTAAAGCGCGTTGCTGTTCTGCCTGTTCTGGCCCGCATTAAAAAAAGTCCTTCCGGTTAAACATCGCATCATTTTATTTAATGCTAGTATTAAACCTATTCTTAAGTACTGTGTCTCCGTTTGGAGAAATTGTAATGCAGGATTATTGGATGAGATTTTTTAATTTCAAAAATGGTGTGCGCGTATTGTCCTAGGTGCTCTATTTCAGGCTAGAACCCTGCCACTATTTCTGGAACTTAAGTGGCTACCCATCAATCAAATCTGTATTAAAAGAAGACTACTTGTGCTCAAGAAAATCCTGGATTTACGTGCACCGGATTTCCTCTCTGAGAAACTGTTATCTTTGAAATACCACAAGTCTCATGATACAAGGTCTCGGTTGCCTTATCGGCTTCCTATTCCACGTACCAATAGCATGAAGAGGATATTCTTTTACAATGCATTTGAACTGTGGAACAATGTCAGTGAAAATACTTTAGTCCGCTCTTCTGATGTAAAGAAGTTCAAAAGAGATTTCTTTGATTCAGTCATGTGTAAATTTACGCCTGACGGTTTTATAATTGACAGAATTTATAACCTTTTTTAAATGACTTCTAGTGGGGCGGATATGTGCAGACTTGGGGCCGAATTGTTCACTTTTTGTTAAAGGCACCCAATTTTCAGGAATGACAGAACTAATCATGACTATTAATATGTGATATGGTGCCATCGCAAATTTTTCCTGTTAGACCGGTTTTTGGAGTTATTACTAAAATGGCCGCCATTTTGACCGTAACTAAATATCACGTAACCGAAAGTACACGAAATTTAGCATGTTAAGGTCAAAATGATGACGAAATTGTTTGTTCTATGTTTCTCCGGATATTCATGTCGTATAAAAAAGCCAACTGTGTTACAAATTAGCGGTTTAAAGGAGAAAACCGGAAGTAAGAGTGGGATAAAATGGAAAATGCAACTCATTCAAAGCAATTCATTTAGTGAATTAAAAAAAAGGTGAAACAATGATTCACATTTTTAAGCATAGGAAAGGCCAAACATACCAACAAATTAAACTAGCAAAAGACAACAATATTTCTTTTTACTTGTTTTAACCCTTTGAGTCCCATTAGCGACCAACTTCAATTTTCTTCTGACTCACATACATATCCATACAAGGTCAAGAGATTAGGTTTTTAGAATTAATAAAATTATCACCTAAGAGAAAATGCTTTGATCTTTTATCAAATCTCTTTCAACTTATCTTTATAAGAAAATATACAGAGATCAGTCTGGAAAATTTGTATGTGGATATAGGGGCTTAAAGGGTTAAAAGAGTTGATCCACTATTAACTAGAATGCAGAATGCTTTGCGGCTTTCAAAGTAACTTGAGATATAATAGCTCCTGCGACCACCATTTTGTGTTATTGACGAGTATAAATAACACTCTGTGCATGTACATATTGGATTGAAACTGCTTTCACGATAATGTCTGCTCATTTCAAAGTGTACCATTTTCAAAATATTTTCGGGAAATCCGTTTGAGAGGCAAATGGGTCCCCTACTCTTTACAAACAGTGTCTCGGTTCTTTAACTTCCACAGCATTTCAAGATATGAACGAGAACTGTGAGACGAGGCTTACGGTTTTTTTCCCAAGAAGACTAAAAAGTGTAACCGTTTGCAGATGACATTGAAAAAGCTGCACTTCTCGTCATTTATTTAAAGATCTTGATCGAGAGTTGGTCCTGCCGGGGTTTGAAACCCCGGCTTCTCTTTCAGTAGACCGGTGCTTATCCAAACGAGGTGACAGTTTAATTCATCTGTGTTTCACTATCAAGTGAATCTGCGTCTCTCTCGACAGAAATGAGAGTGGGGGAGTGAGGGAGCCCATTCCTTATAAGCCCGGTGGCTTCTCTTGGGCTTCCTCGCCAGGAGAGTTTAAATAATTAGATTTCTTTTGCTTTGTACAACTGATGGCAAACAAAACAATAAACAATAAACAATTAGTCTCTTATCTTCACTGTAACCACCCCCAGAATGTGGCCCCCCATATCATGGACCGAGTAGCACTGATCATCATGCTAAAGTTCACATGCAAGAAAATAAGGGAAAAGGGTTGTGCGAATATGTATCCTTTACGTCAATCCCCTGAACATGCAAAACGTATTCTGTTGGATAAATTATGTGACAGATATGTCGCACGGCGAACAGCTTGAAGACTAAGATCTGGGGTAAACGTGTATCAGGAGCTACTAAGAAACCGGAATGAGCTAGTTCTTTAATAAAGATCGAAATAAGCAGGTGCTTTTTAGATTCCTTGCACATTGAGCAACGCATGTCGTCTAGGGCCAGATTTCCAGTTTTTTCTTGCATCATTTGAAGTCAATTCGCTAGAAAACATTCATCATCATGCTATATCACAAAAGCAGATTCCCTTCTATTAAGATATTTAGCAATTGATGAATGAGGCTGAGTAGGATATGAAGAATTAAACAAATCGAGGAGGGTGTTATCCACAGAGGCCGAATGCTTTGTTATTCATTCAAAATAATTCCTAGTTTAAAAACATGGCTAAAACATGCTTACCTGCATCGATGTCAAGTTTATCTTCGATAGTGGACGTTTACGTTTGTCCAGCTCCGCAAATATTCTCCAAATAGCAGATATCACCCTCCGAGTTGTCTTCTTGCTGTATTTGCTATGTTTTTAGCCATTACTTCGCCTAGTTCCAGCTGTAGTTCTTACTCTTGAAACGAGTGAAGTGTCCGCCATTTTAGTTTTCATAACGAAAACAAGTCAACCACGTCCCCGGGTCTTCTCAGTTAACGGTGCATTAACCTGTAGAAGGCTGCATTTTTGACGTCATTTCCTCGTTAAACACAAAATTCTTCCAAATTTGGTCATCAGTGACTGGTTATGGTGAATTATGCGTGTATTTTAGCCAATCAGAATTGGGGAAATGTTTTGAATGAATAATAAAATATATTAAAATATAAGTTAAGACTTTCCATAAGTCTAATGTTGTTTGTGTCCAAGACATTTTCGTTAAGTCCACTCTCAGTTCTAACTACCCATGAAGCTTCTCTACCATGAAGCCAAGTTAGCTTCCCTATCATATATCGTGGTACTGAGGTACATCTACGCTACCTTGCAGCCTAAGAGATTGCTAGCGTATTTCCTAAAAACGCTGCACTGGCACTTCCTCCGTTCCATGCATTCACAGGATGTGACGAGGTGAATACTTCTAGTCACCTCTAGAAATAATTGGAGTGGTTTTCGCTGACACGTTCTTCTATACGATAGAAAAAGTAGTTCTTTACCTTCAACTGACGAATCCAAAAGTAGTTTCTTTAACCTGGCCTGCATTACTTAAACATTTCAAGGCCTACAGTCTGCAAGATTGGGGTTGGATATTTCTAAGCAGAGAGTGGCGACTCTCCTGCGCACCACTGTTAGAAGTTAAGTTAAGCGTGGAACTAGTCAAGCGTGGAACTACTCAAGTACCCTCGTAAGAAGGGCTGTGCCCAGAAGAGTGACAATCGTGAAAGGCAATCCTACACTCTTTTTTCGATTACAAGCACTCGTCTGCATGAAGTATCAAGTCATTAGGTAACCGAGATATCACCTGTTATTCTTCGATCGATATTCTGTATCATAGCGAAAGTAGGCTCAAGTTTAGTAATGGACTATACACGATGAAAATAGTAAATTGAGTGTATACATCAGGTTAAAAGAAAATATTTAAGTAAAGAGAACCAGCGGGCACAACAGAAGTTTAATCTCATTCCTTAAAAGTTCCGACTCTGGTAGTTTTACTTCCGGTCTAGCTGGTGGTCGCTTACATCTTCTCTATTGTTTTTTTTTAGACAATTTGCGTTGAAATAATATCTTTTTGTATGAAAAAACAGGTGCCTTAGGCTGACATTTTCTTATCCAAGTTGCTAGAATTCAGACGTTTTAAAGAAAATATTAATTTCATGCTTTTGACAGAAAGTGAACAATTCAAGCACATATCTGTTCTACTATTATATTTTCTTAAAGTACTCATTAAGTTTTTTTATCCATTTGTAAATTCGAAAAAAATCTGATATTTACATTATTTCTTACGTCAGTATTCTAGTTTTAAAGGATTTTTTTAAATTTTAGTAGATTCATGGGGCCATAAGGGAGGATAAAGTTGGTCTGTAATTATGGACCCTATTAAAAATTGTTCAAAGTGTTCAAACACTGTGGCCACTCATCGCATGTCAAAATGTCATTCTCCTCAGTGAAACAATCCCTCATTTATCTCATGCACGATCACGGACTTTTGTGTCAATTGAGTGACGTCTTCTTTGGCTCTACACAACTGAGGACAAAAATATTGTCAAATTCTTGGCTAAAAGCTATATAAGCTTCTTGGCTATAAGCCAAACACCAGTCAATTTCATGGAGTCATTTTCAATGTTTAATACTACCAACGATTCAAAAGTAGTCATTACTTCTAAAACTCAAACAACACATAAAGCGAAGTAGCAAAAAATTAACCTGGCTAAACGAATTATCGTAAGTCAACAGATAGAGCACGTTTCCCGTAATATGATATTATGAAATTTGAAATGTCATTCCTCACGTCCACACCTGACAGTAAGCACGAAAATCGCTCGAACTCTTGGGTTTGATCCAAACGCGGTTTAAACTCAAAATATTTCTTACAGATTTAATCCCTGGATTTAACACTTAGTAGCAGTAGTTATTACTCCACATAGTAGTAGATATTACTCTCCAAATAGCTTTGAAGAAATGAAAAATAACTTAACAAAATATGATGTTGAGCACAGCTTTTCAGTCTTTCATAACAACATAAGTTTACTGATGCTTATATTCTACCACCAAATTTTCCTTATTACAAATCCGTCCGTGGTTTCATACACGATATAAGAAATCAAAAGGTACCCAGTGACTTTTTAAACCTATTAAGCGATACTACTAGTTAGTATTTATTCTTATAAGAAGGACACATGCCCAGTGTCTTTAAAATCATCGTGATACATTCGAATTTTCAGAAAAACCCAAGACGGAAGACAAGTTGATGTCATAAGTCCACAGCAGGCACATAACAAGAATTTCGCTCTTTTATCAACAAAACGACTCGTTCTTTGGATAAAAAAAACTGAAATAATCAGTTCAATGAGACAACACTTACGTTAACCATATCCATTGAAACAGAGAGGGAATCTTAGGGCCTTGGCTGGGATATGTGTATTTTACTAGCGTTTTTTAGAGCTTGCAATTAAACGGAAGTCTTATTCCTGAGACGTCCGCACATTTTAATCGATTGTTGAAAACGTCATCAAGTCCACGCGCGACTGCCTCAGAGCAAACCATCAATGCAGAATATTGTAATGGCTACTGTTGAATTCTCTCTTGACAACACTGGATAAAAGTAATTACGAATTTCTCGGGAAACAAACTTCCGATTGATTGCAAACGTTTAATCGGCCTAAAAATAATATTTAACAATTATTCCACGAGTGCACGTTGGATATGAAATTGTAGAGAGCCAACAAGGCGCGTAGCGCCGATTTGGCTATAATCATCTCATATCCAACACGCACGAGTGGAATAATTGTTTTATTAAAAACGCCCACAAAATATCGAGAATTCTTCCCGACTTTATTTGTAAGAACAACCGATTTTCAGCTTGTGTTTAACTTTGAGCAGACGTGTACAGTTAGCATATTTGGAGAGCATGGTGTAATGGCTTATATACCATGATGGCTAAGCCGTAACCGGAGCTCTAGAATTACATTATTAAATGATTCAGCTTTTAATAAATTATAATATATTATCCCAAAAGGTTGACTGGGCCTTTCCCTCTCTGTTCTATAATCCTCTTTTAGGTTAATTGTTTTCATACCTAGCAAAAAGTATCCATCCACTACAGGTCCAATGGGCCAATCATTTCCCTTGAGAAAGATTTTAAGCTGGGCCTTTAGAATCTCATCCACTGATTTCTCCTTCAAGCACTGTTTAAGGGAGGAAAATTCACATCCCACTAACTGTGAAAGGCTCCTGAAAAAGATTTAATTAATAGTCAAAGATTAATTTGAAACCCCTTCTAAATTAAAGATAAGTGCTACCATGATTCAGTGCTACCTGAAAGGTTTTTATCGCTTTATGCGTCTTTGCTAGTGAACTGAAAAACCATTAAAAGCGTCTTTCGTTAAGGGCACGAAGAAAGGATCGGACTAACAAAATTGTAGCCTGCGCCACACTGACAGACTAAACTAACCGAGGTAAATTACACCTGCGACTCAGCCTACAAAATTGGTGAGCCGGGTGAGGATGAGCCGCGCTTGTAGGATTGAGTTGATGTCCTCTAAAGGTTTTTACCACTTTATACTACCTTTCTAGTATACTGGAAAACCGTAAAAGCTTCTTTCTTTTAAGAGCGAGTGGAAAGGACTATCAATATTGTTCGGCCAGGGAAGGAGTGGTTTTCAAGTTTTTTCTCGCGCAGTTAGGATGAGCCAATGTGTTTTTTTGTTTTTCAAGCAAATGTTTAAGGAAAGCGAGCATGATAACAACTTCTCGTTCTCGTACTTAGAAAGCAGCTTGTGAAACACGCATCGACACGAACATGCATTTCAGTCTGTTGCCGCAAGTGTTTTCTCATCGCGTGTTTTTTACGAGTTCAACTTTACATTCCAGAAAACATTTTTCAAACGTAGATGAAGTAAAAAAGAAAGCTTTTGAATTTCTACGTTTTAACCAGCTCTAGATTTTAAGCCAAGCAGTCGGAAGACTCACAAACGCGCGTACCCAAGAGCAAATAAAAGGGGCGGAGAGGGAAACGCCCAGTGAAGCCCTGGGATATCTCAATTTCACCAAAATTACTTTTAGACCAAATAAACGCCTGAAATTTATCGGAAGATGGTTTCCGAAGAGGTCCTTAAAATTTTATTCGGTTTCGTAAAGAGAGAATGGCCTTACTGTTACTGTTACTGTGTTAACTTTATTTTTACTCTGAGGGAGCCCAATGTCTATAAGCCTCATGGTTTCTTTTTCGGCTTCCTCGCCACTTTCATTTGCTTTTGTGTAACTGTCTTGTTTTATCGTTATTTGTATTTTGTGATAAATCAAATAAAGTTACAAAGTTACAAAGTTACAAATTCAACAATCGCCCTTACAATAGCGATACTCACGCCGACGTCACCTATTGATATTAATGTGCTAACCAGAAGCGCATTGGTTCTTGAGACAAAAGATTCTATTGTTTCACGCGTTACAAATCTGAATAACAAAAACAATGTTTCTAAACCGCGATGTCTCCGATATTCTGCATTGTTTGCTTTGACAGTCGCGCGTGGACTTGATGACGTTTTAAAGAATCGATTAAAAATATTCAGACGTCTCTGCAATAAGACTTCCGTTTAATCACAACCTCTAAAAATAACTTTAGTCAAATTCACATATTCCGGCCAACGCCCTAAGATTCTCTCTCCGTACCAGATTTCAGATTTTTACAAAACTTTTTTATACTCTACCTGGCCACAGAGTCAGCTTCGTTTCTTTCTAAATAGGAAAAGAAGGCTGTTGCTGTTCCACTCTGCAAGATTGCGTTCTGGTACAAACCATTAGTCAGCGGCGACAACATCAACAATCCAACGCTTATTCCACCTGCCGACTCACCAAATATGGTCACTTTATTGGGGTCGCCGCCAAAACTGAAATATATGAAAAGTTTAAGGATGAATTAAACTTTGTTTATAACATTTTTTTATATTCCCTATCGGTGGAATTACTTCACTCTTGGTGTCAAACTCCATATAATCTACCCACCTAACTGATGCTTATCCCCCTTCGAAGATGCGCTTTCTTCTTGCCGTATAAGAAGTCTTTGAGATAAACAACCCCTTGTATTCATCTCAATTCGTACATCGTTCCAGTCTGCGAACACTTTTGTTCAGGCAAAGCGAAAAGGAAGGTTATCTAGGAGAAAACGTTCGAGGCGTACCGCTATCAGTTCAGAGACGCATGCAGCTTGGCACTGTATGCCAATATCTCCCTTGCAATATCTGTATACACGCGTTTCCGCAGGGGTGTCAAATCATCACTGAAATCATGTAATTTAGAATGTCGCACATAAAATTTTTGAAGTCTAGTTAAATTTCATTCATAACATTGACTTAAACTTTACTCCTATTATAACACACAGAGGGATTATAAAATCAAGCTAGAACTAACATTTGCCTTAAATATTCTGAGAGAACCGGGACTGCGATAAGATCATACACTCAAACCAAACCTGCATAACTAACCTTGCGATGTTTTTATTGACCCATCTCATGGCCTCTATTTGATCCATCATTCCGTAGTTGCCTGTGAGATCGCCACTATTCGAGCTCAGAAAACCAAGGACTCCCAAGCGATACGCTGCTGCTACGACAATAACGTTTCCTTCGGTCGCCAACGGAGAACCATCGTAAAATATAATGTCGCCTTCAGCAAACCCTCCACCGTGAATCCACAGCATCACCGCAAGACCAGAACTGCTGCTCGCGTTTTCGGGAATGTAAACACTGAGCCGTAGACAGTCTTCGTCAAAGAGAGAGTGTAAGTGTTGAGACAAGGAAGTCACACGCTGAGGACAGACACTGCGTGTTGCGTTTGCGTGCAGAGTTGAAGTCCACTTGTCCGGTGGAACGGGATACTCGAAACGCTTCGCCTTTGCAAACGGGATTCCCAAATAGCTTTTAACAGTCTTGTTTGTCGGGAGTTTAGTTACAGAGCCGCTGACGGGGCCATAAGTTGTCGTAACAGTAGGAGCGGTCATAGAATGAGATCGCGAAACAATGAAGGTTATGAACATGAAGGGTAATACTGTAAACGAATACATGGCCTCAATCGCACTTCGCTTTGGTGGTGCAAAAGTGACCCGCCTCACGTCTAGCAGTTCTTTTCATGTGACTGTTCACAGGCAACCCAAGTTCATACCGAACAAGACGCTATGGGAGCGTGCACTTCAGCGTCGTGGTTGTGGATTAATTGTTAATGCGGAGAATAGTAAGAAACGATATTTTTCCGGATAACCTTCCATACAAATACCCTTACTTTTTTCTTTTGTGTAACAGACGTCTTACCTTCTTCCCCGGAAATCTGCTAGGTGCATGACCGCGTGTCTGTAACCCAATTCGATTATAATTTCTGTCATAAATAAATTGCACATGACGAGATCTCAGTTCCACTTCCTTTATTTCCTCTACAACAACACTTTCCTTATGTACAGGTAACTCCACCTTCGCCATCAATGTATTCCACACCGAGGATAATTAGCGTACAACATCGCAGCACAAACTAGAAATACTTATCTCGCAATAAGATATCTCGAACCAATTCAGAAGCAACTTCGGGGCATCCGAATGCAACTCTGAAACATTCCTGAGCAGCGCAAATCAATAACTTCCCGCTCCGCCGAAGTAAATGAGTTCCTCTAACTGAGAAAGAAATTGAGAATCTAACCATCCCAGCACTGAAAGACGAACTTGCTAAAAGGGATCTATCAAAAAAGGGAACCAATAAACTCTGGTTTTCCGATTGAAGTCATCCTTTCAAAGTACCCGCCAGTGCAGTCTCTGACCAAACTGATACTTCGCCTCTGTGTACCGCACGAGACGAAACCAACAACTTAGAGAACTTCCCATGCTTACCCCTTCTATTAGATTTTCAGAATGAAGTAAAAGGTATCAAGGCTAATTCGTCTGCGGCATATACTACCTAACCTGACTTCTAAGTGTGAGCTGACAAAGCTTCAAGATGAAAACAACGCTGGCTGCTCCCTGGCTAACACCAGAGATAAAAAGATTGATGTTTGAGAGGGAACAACTGAAAAGGGCTACAATTATCAACAATTCAGATGCTCATTGGACCGAGTATAAGATTGCTCGAAACAATGTAAATGCTAATATCAGGAAAGTAAATACTAACTACTATAAAAGGTATTTGGAAACAAATCTAGGGGATATTAAGAAATCATGGAAAGGAGTAAATTCAATATTGGGCCGAAATTTACTAACAACTGAAATAAATAGAATAGATGTTGGAGATAACTCATGTACTACCCCATTAGAAATCTCTAATACTCTTAATTATCACTTAACTCACATTGGGCCTAGGTTAGCCGATAATATTCCCAAAACTGGTGTTTGTTTCGAGGAGTACATTACGCCATCAGATTCTAGTTTTACCCTGAACGAGACTCACGGCGGTGTTGTTCACCGTTAAGTGAGTTCCCTTCGAGTCGACAAGGCTACACGCTTAGATGGCATTTCTGCAAGGCTTTTAAAAGAAGCTTGTCCTGAAATCGTGCCTTCTCTCACCCATATAATTAACCTGTCCATTAGGTGTGGGTATTTTCCAGACGAGTGGAAAATTTCTGAAGTATTATTTTTATATAAGGAGGATATTAAGTCTGATCCTAACAACTATAGACCTATATATATACTCTACCAGTTGTCAGCAAAATAGTCGAAAAAGTTATTTTCAAACAACTTTATGAGTACCTAACTCACAATAATTTGCTGGCAGGTTCTCAGCATGGTTTCATACCGATGCATTCTACTTTGACTGCCTTGCTTGAAGCTACTAACAACTAGTACTTAAATATTGATGATGGCCTAATTAACAGTGTACTCTTTCTAGATCTTAAGAAAGCCTTTGATACGGTTGACCACAGCATATTGTTGAAAAAACTGCAACTTGATGGTCTCGACCCTCATGCAGTTCAGTGGTTCAAATTATACCTATCAAATCGCTTTCAGAGTACTTATGTAAAATGGAACTCTCTCAGACCATCTTCCTGTTAGTTGTGGGGTCCCACAAGGTTCTGTACTTGGACCTTTGTTGTTTCTCACTTGTATAAATGACCAACAAGAATGCGAGCTGTCATCATCAGCACTCATGAATGCTGATGACACCTCGCTTACCCTTTCCGCTTATGACCCCACAACTCTTAAGGTTAACAAAGACTTGGATGACGTTCAAAAGTGGCTGAAATCAAATAAACTCACATTAAATGTCAAAAAGACAAAATATATGATAATTGGAAGCCACTACCGACTAAGGCATTTAAATGGTGACTTAAACGTTACTGTTGATAGTCAACAATTGACTCGGGTGACTAATTATAGATATCTGGGAATAGAGGTTGACAAGGCATTGGGGTGGCAATCCCAAGTAGATACCATCTGTAAAAAGGTATCTGCAGGTATAGGGGCCTTGAAACGCATTCGTTCCCTGGTGCCTTGCCAAAACCTACTCGGAATGTATGATGCTTTAGTCGCTCCTTATTTTGATTATTGCTCCGAAGTCTGGAAATGTATGGGAAAAGGTCTGTGTGACAGACTCCAGAGATTGCAAAATAGGGCTGGGAGAATTATAACATTTAGTGATTATAATACAAGATCTGCGGATATCCTCCAAGACTTGGGATGGGATACCCTTGAGCAAAGACGCTCTAAACAGCTCGCAATATCCGGGGTTCATTCCTACAACGTGCGAGGTGCCTCGAACAATGTTTTTGTACCAAGGCCCCGTACTGAAGCTGCTAAGCGGGCTTTTAGCTTTAGGGGGGCAGTCATGTGGAATGGCCTAGGAAATGTGCTTAAAAGAGAGATAAATCTCAACTCTTTCAACTCTGTCTTTCTCTTGAACCAGGGATCGCCTTGAGGGAGTTGAGATAGAATTTACTTTGATTTTTGTGTAATTAGTCATAGGATAGATTTTCTACATATATAGATGTATTTTTAGCATAAGTGTAGTTTCTCTGAAAATTTTGTTATGTAAAACAGCTCACTGGAAGAGCATTTTTAAGGAAGTGATACCGTAAAGAAAGCTTGTTGATGAAGCTTGTTGAACGCCTTGAAACAGAGACATCGCGACGTGGAAGACGCTACGACTCTTTAAGCGTGAAGCAAAATCCATTCAAGATGAAAATAAAAGTTTAATGACTGCTCTAAAACTATTAAACAACGAAATTGGCAAAGAAGGTAAATATCGAGATGGTAGATATGAAAATATCAAGGAGAAAAATTTGCGTGATGAAGAAACCTGTTGGGTGACTGCATGTGATAACAAGACAATGCACAGAAAGAAACGAAAGCGTCAAATACGGGTAAAGGTAAAAGGTAAAATTAATTGAATCTCCCAATCAGGGTTTTTCAGACCCAACGTACATAAGCATATAAATAATTCATAAGATAAGTTTCACATCAGAAATCTACAGATCCATCGTTCAACCGATCTACCGATCCAATTATCTGGCGATCTAAAGATCCACCGATGTAGCGATCTACAGATTCACCGATGGAGCGATCTACCGATCAACCGATCGCGATCTACAGATCCACTGACTAGCGATCCTCAGATACGGCGCTCTAGCGATCTACAGATCTACCGATCCATCGATCTATAGATCCAACGATCTAGTGATCTACCAATCTGTCGATCTACAAATCCACCGATCTAGCGATCTACAGATCCACTGATCTAGCGATCTACAGATCTACCGATCTACATACAGATCCAACGATCTAGTGATCTACCAATCTGTCGTTCTACAAATACACTGATCTGGCGATCTACAGATCCACCTATCTAGCTATCTACAGATCCACCAATTAAGCGATCTACAGATCCATCGATCTTGCTATTTACTGACCTGCCACTCTAGCGATCTACAGATCCACCGATATAGCGATCTACAGTTCCACTGATCAAGTGATCTATCGATCCACCGATCTACCGATCCATCGATCTAGCGATTTATAGATCCACCAATCGAGTGATCTACAGATCTACAGATCCACTGAGCTAGCCATCTATAAATCTAGCGTTCTTGTGATCTGCCGATCCACTAATCCATCGTTCTACAGGTCCACCTATCTAGCGATCTACAAATCCACCGATCTAGAAATTTACAGATCCACCGATCAATTGATCTAGCGATCTACAGATCCACTGATCTAGGGATCTACCGATCTATCGATCTACGGATCCATCCATCTTGCGATCTACAGATATACCGATGAAGCGATCTAGTGATCCACCGATTTAGCGATCTTCAGATCCACCGATCTAGCAATGTACAGATCCACCGATCCAGCGATCTACAGGTCTGCAGGTCTAGAAATCTACAGCTCCACCGCTAAAGCTACCTACCGATCAATTGATCTAGCGATCTACAGATCCACCGATTAAGCGACCTACCGATCCATCGATCTAACGATCTACAGATCCACCGATGAAGCGATCTACCACTCCACCGATCTAGCGATCTACAGTCCACTGATTTAGGGATCTACAGATCCACCGATCTAGTGATCTACCGATCCACCGATCTACCTATCTACAGTTCCACTAATCAAGCGACCTACAGATCCACCGATCAAGCTATTTACTGATCCCCCGCTCTAGCGACCTACAGATCAACCGATGTAGCGATCTACAGATCCACTTATCTATCGATTTACTTATCAACCGATCTAGCGATCTACAGATCCAGCGATCTAGCGATCTAGAGATCGACAGATCTATCGATCTACAAATCCACCGATCTCGCGATCTACAGATCTACCGATTCACCGATCTAGTGATCTAATAAATGTTTATAAGTCAATTGTCGAACAATACTTTGACTATTGTTAAGAAGCAGTAGTACTGATGATCCATTAATCTACAGATCCACCGATGCATCGATCTACAGATCTACTGATCCATGATCTACAGAAGCACCGATCTAGCGTTCGAACGAACTATAGATCTACTGTTTCAAATCATCTACTGTTGCAAATTCATCTACAAATCCACCGATTCATCGATCTACTAATCCATTGACCTACAGATCCACCTATATAGCGGTCGATCCACCGTTCTACAGATCTAGTGTTCCACTGGTCTAGCGATCTACCGATTCACAGCTACAGATCCACCTATCTACAGATACACCCATTCTAGACATGTAACAAAACCAGGGGGTGGGGGGAAGGTGATTCTATTATTTTCCACCTACGCTTTTGACCCACTCCGCCTGTCAGTGTGACGTCACATAGTAACGGGCAAGAGCCTCGTGCGGCTTGTGCAAATTAGAAAAGGGATACAACAGTTATTGGGAAGAGCAAGGTCGAGGAAAAGCTAAGACGCTTGAAAATATCGCTCTATATATTGCTAATTTGATCGTAAGAGTGTGAGCTTTGTTGTTGCTTTAATCTTCTTGTGTAAACCGTTTTGATACTTTTGTGTCCGTAATTGCATAATTTTGTTATTTTGTTTTGCAGGCCGAAGCCGTGTTGCGGGATCGCCATATTTTTCACGGGACCGGCAAGGTCATCAAAACTGAAATCGTTTTTCTCTGTAAAATAGGCAAGGTCTAGTCTCCAGAATAGGAGGTTCCATTCTCGGATCACACATGCATGTTTATATTTCATCTATTCTTTCGCTAATTAAACCAACCTAACTTCATATCAATCCTTCCGAGTTCGGGCCTGTTGATTTCCTAGTTCTCCACCAACTTCAGTAAAGCTAGTTTGATCGACTATCTACATCGATCGGCCCGTTGAACCCGAAATAATGCGAAATAGCTTTGAAATACGCGCTTAAGCCATCTTTCCTCAAATGTATATTTGAATTCACGATAAATGCAGTGAGCTCCGTCAGCGTCAAACAGCGTTTTTTAAAACAGGTCTGGCACGAGTGTAGCTAAATGCCGTGGGTCGTGGGTAGTGGGTAGAGGTCGTGGGTCGTCGGTGTGGGTCGTGGGTCGTGGGTGTGGGTAAATGTCGTGGGTAAAAAAAATGTCTTCCAAAAAAATAAAATTAAAAAATAAAATTAAATTCGACGTCTGAAACCAAGTCGTGCTTGTGTCGTGCTGCAGTCGAGCTACAGTCGAGCCAGCTTAGCACGGCAGTAGCACGACGTTTGAAACAGGCCTTTGAACGGATCATCAAAGCGTTCCTAAAAAATAGGCAGTCTATGACTGAATCTGGCTTACTGTATAGCTTCACCTCAAGGGAGGCATAAGGGACGCATTTACATTCTTCACGGTGTTGCGCCTAGCTATCTTAAGGATCTTGTCTCTGTCTTACCGGACTCACGTTACCAGCTACGCCGTAACAATAATGGTATATTGCTAGAAAGACCTCGGCTAAGAACGAAGAAGACTTTGGGAGATCGCGCGTTATCGATGGCTGCCCCCTTTTTATGGAACAGTCTTCCTCTGCCAATAAGACAGGAAATATCAATCGACTCTTTTAAACGCTCTGTTAAAACATATTTATTTAAGAAGGCTTTTAGTTAGATTATTTATTTATTTATTTATTTTTTAAATATTGTAATTTTACCGGGTAATTTTACTGGTTTTTAATTTAGTTATTAATAATATTGTAATGCGCTTTTGAGTATTTTTATAGAAAAAGCGCAATATAAGTATTAAATATTATTATTATTATTACAGTATAAGCTAAATCAAAATGGATTAACCACAAGGAAACCAGAGTAGAACAAATAGCAAGAAAAATGTGGGTATGCAGTCTGCAAGTGTGACATCGTGATACAGGGGGGTACATGTCCCGCTAATATTTAATAGGTACCCGTCCAACATTTGACGCAACGTGATATTTTATTTGAGATGCTTGCTTAAGGTTTGTCTTATATGTATTTCATCTATGAATCTTAAAAGCCAAATAAGGCCCGGTTCAGACGCCGAACTTTTCATGAGCCGAACCTAATACATTGAATTAAGTACATGAAAAGTTCGGCGTCTGAATCAATTAGGAACGCCTGTTTCAATTTAGAACGGCTCAGCCGTTCTTTTCGCCTTGCCCGGCCGGGAATTTCGCCTTTGGAGCGACTTTGGAACGGCTTTGATTCAGACGCCGAACTTTTCATGTACCGAATCTAATGCATAAATTATTATAACGTATTTTGTAACTAGTTTAACCGAAATGAGCATTTTTCTCCTTTTGAATTTAGTTCGGCTGGAATTAAGATCGGCGTCTGAATCAATTTAGCCGGTCTAAATAATTTGGGTCGGCCTTAATTCGAATTAGGTTCGGCTCATGAAAAGTTCGGCGTCTGAACCGGGCCTAACTTTTGTAATATTATTTCAAGTAACACTGTTAATAAGACAGGGCAATAGCGCTAAAAGAAAACGATGCTAAAAATTACTAACACGGTTAGACAATACAACTACAGTCGAGCCTCCATGTGCGACCACCTCTCGTTATCGACCACCTCCCATAAACGACCGCCAATCCAAAGCACTAAAATTTTCCCAGTCAAACCCTTACAGTTGGAACCTCTAGTAAACGACCACCTCCTGTAAGAGACCGCGACCACTTTTTGGGCATGACGGTTAATGATTTTCCATTGTCTTTAACCTCTTTGTAAGCGACCACTTTACGCATTCTATTATCTCTATGTTCGTTGTGTGCACTATGCTACTTAGAATATACGAAGAACTTTAGTGACAACATGGAACTATTGTACACATGTCACGAAATAAATTATCTTCCATAAAGTACATGTGCCTGGACCTCTTCTTCGAAAAGGCCCCCTGTGGTTCCATTCTTATAAGAAACCACTCAGTCGTTCCATTTTAGGTGGTCACTTACGGGAGGTTCGACTGTAGGAGAGTAAAACTACACTATAATGTAAAAAGGAAAACAAACACGCTAAGGAACAAGTTATGTCACGAAAGAAGGGCAAGCGTGACAAATAGCATGTGACCGGTGTCACTGAAGAGTCATATGATACGAAACAAGAGACGAAAACAACAAAATCTATACTAAACGAACTGCGCTTGTGATCTACGATCTCTCACAAAAACGTGGCACAACAAACCAGAACACTAAGCTAAAAGAATAACAACGGCTTCGTTTAGATGAATTATATATCTGTTTTGACTCTTTTGTTGAACAGTAGCTTTAGATTCTTCTCACCAGACGAATCGTGTTTTCCAGAGTTTAATATGATTTGCAGCAATACTGGATAAAACAAATGAAACAGGGACTGTTTTTTTAAGCATTTTCTTACGCTTCTGTCTTAGATTATTCGCTCCCGGAAGGCAATCTAGGCTTCCTTGAAAGAGATAATCCGCTGCCCGAAGGACTTGACTTGGTTTTGAGATCGCCACGGGGCAAAGATGTTCAGCTGCACTAAACAGTTGATCGCACTTCGATGGAGTCAAACGTTTTCTGGAAAATTGGTAACTAAATTCTCTGCTAACAAGTTCTCCATAAATGCGAAGACGGCTGCGCTTGATTCTTACACCTAATTATACAAATAGTTTTAACTCATTATGAATGAAGAACTCACCTTCCATTGGCGACAGCGACAAAATTGAGAGCTCATGGCAAATCGTAAATTTCTCGCGTCATCACGTGCTAATTCAAGTAACATTCGAGGCCATTCGAAGCTTTCCTCGACAAACTATGAACAACCGACGACGTTCCGAAACGAAAAGGGGCTAAGATCAGTGAATATCGGATAGAAATCGGTAGAGTTCGTCGGCTCGTATTCTTTTGTTACACTCACTAATAATCTCTCAACGCGATAACATTGTGGCGCACAGCCTTGAAGAGGCAGTAAGCCACAAAATGCAGTCTCTGTAAAGATAAGTTTCTTCTCCAAGAAGCCATTGCAAAAAACAAACAAACAAACAAACAAACAAACAAACACTCTTGCTTATTTCAAAATTCCAAATCAAAACTGCGCAGTCTAAACCTTTCGAGTATTACAGGCCGTCTGTCGAGTCTGAAAGTGATCTCTTGCTGAAACATAAGAGCCATGGTCCTCCAAGTTCCAAGTTCGTTTGCGGGGTTAGATTCTTGCCACAATCTTCAGGTATGTTTAAAGTTCCAGCTCCTTTCGCCAATGTCTTGGCAGTTTGCGGCATGTGACGATAAGAACAACGAGTAAGATTACACCTACAGCACCAAATACTCCTGTTAAGATGGCGAGTATCATCACCAGTTTATCTAAATTGGAGAGAAGACAGTCAACTACCGTAAATGACCCAATAAACGCCCCTTATCTAATAAACGCCCTCTCTGTGCTGTGCACATTTTATTAGACGCCCCCTATGACAGTTACTCCAAAATACTAGAAATTAGCAAAAAGGAGCAAAATCATTCAATTCATTCAGTTTCCTTCGGCGCGGCGTAGCCTCGCTCCGTTACAGAAATCGCGCCGAAATCACCGTGTGAACAGAAGCCCTATCCGGTCTGGTTTTCGCGCGGGCAAAAGAGATATGTAGTATGGCCTAATATATAGATAGATAGATACTTGTTTTGAGGGTTTCACCTGATATCCACAGATAATATGCGCGTAACCCCCAACCAAAAATTAAGAAAAAATAAATAAACAAAAATTAAGTAAATATTAAGTAATGATCCGGGTAAGGTGGATAGCAATTTCTTTTGTTATGCGGCAACGGTGCTTTCCCCACATAGGAAAGTTCTCATTTTTACACAGAGAATGCATAAACCTACATGAAGGCCGTTTACGCAATAAAATGCATTCACACTCCACTTTCAAAGGGTGTTTTTTTTTGTGTTAAAAGATTTTGACCAATCACAAGAGTTGAAAACAATAGCCAAGAAAAGTTTACAATTTTACATGTTCCCCACATAGGATTTCTTTGTTATTCAAACTGAGACCAGATTTTGTTATATGGAAGATGGTTGGAAAGTAAGGATGAATATATGTACTGCTTTATGAAATTTTGTTCATTTTTGCTGTTTAAGCCAATCAGAAGTAAGTACAGACAAAAGAAAAGTTGGCACCTTTTTTGCATTCCAACATGTTCGTTGCCGTTGTTGCTGTCGTTCTTATCTGGACCGTTTCTTAAATATGCAAAATTCTAGAAAGTCCTACTTACAAACAATAGTTATAAAAATTATGGTCTTGAAAGGTACGTTTTCAGTTTCAGAGAAAAGGCCTAAAGCTCACCGCTCAGTGACTCGACCATTTAAACAGAGAGAAGTTGAAAATTATAGCCTCAGTCATTGATTATAACCGTTTTCTCGTGTATTGATTATTATGCCCACAAGTGGTTTGACTATTGTGTCTTCGAGTATGACTCGCAAGCCAATGCTTGAGAACGGTATTATGGTAAACGTTTCGCTGTAACAACTGTCAAAAGATGTTACAGTGTACAGAATATAAGTGGTCATGCCTATCTTATTAAATACCTCTTTTCTTAAAATGTATTAGTTCTTCCCGTTTTCACGTGCATATATAAACTAACCGATTCTCTACGCTCTACATGTATATCATGACATTTTAAGAATCCAAAATTAGCGAGGATCCTTGGTGGTTTGACATTTTTAATACGAAGAAATCCTCACCTTTCTTATCATCAGGTATTGCCTTAGTTGTGGACGGCTTGGGGCTTTCTGTGGTTTGCTCTTCCACTAACTGATCTGGTAGAAACTCATTCCACAGCGCCATCTTTTCTGGACGCATTTTGGACCTAACTGTCAAGTTCGCGCCCAGGCCAATATATTCCTTTCGCTCAGCTGTGTACTGCGGCCACGTTTTCTCCAAAGGTGTCGGAGAATTGGGATTTCTAGCAATATAAAACAATATGTTTTACCCACTTGACTATATCAAGATTCTTAGATGGTTTGGTTTAGTTTATAACGTAGTCACGCCAATGACCTATACAGGGACACTCAACGACAATTTTCGGAAAAATATCTGTTCGGAAGACGATTTGAGATCTAGAATTTTCGGAACATTTGTTGTAAAATTTCTTGCTTGCCTGCCTCTCCTAGGATTTTCGGACATCTAAAAGATGGTATAATTGCCTATTTTTAACGCATTTTTACCCTAAATAGGTCACCTAGAATTTTCGGTAGCCTTTTTTCTGGCTAAAATTTTCGAAAAGGTAAGTTTTGATCCCTATAATTTTCGGATCACTAGACTTTGAGCTAGGAAATCCGAACAGATGAAAAATTTTTAGGGGATAAAAATATGCCTATATCTATCGTTTAAATACTAAAATACGTTTAACAATGCTATGTTTAAGTGGTTTTGAACTATCTTCTCGTTGGGTGCCCCTGCCTATAACTATGCCGATACCTTTGCCTATGGGTTTTTCTTACAGAAGCCTAACGTATAGGATTAAGCCTAGCACGAAATTATAAACCGTAACACTACTCTTCCTTGAAGAGATATTGGCCAAATCGAGACTCCACATGAAATCAGGGTTAGTGTCGTGTCAAATTGCCTTTTGGGACGCAATTCCATTCATTCAAATTACAATCAAACTTCTGTTAAGCTTGGCTAGGAGTAGTCCTAGCATTATCCTAGTATTTCCTCAGTGACAGTAGATCCAGCAAAAAACGTAAGCGCACGTGAAAACTGCGACGCGCGAGAGAGGTTGGCTTATTAAAAGGCTCTCGTGGCGTGTAGGACAGCCAAGAAGGTCGAACGAGAAAGGGCATACCTCATCGTGCCCCTGGGAGTCTGTTCGCGGGCGAGATCAAGTTGACACGAGGAGAGAATCAGGAACTACTCCTGATCTACTGTTATGTGTTGTGGCCCCCGAAGAAAGTGAGCGTCTTACAGGGTTCGTGCCCTTTTTTTTGAACAAAAAATTGAAAACCTTCAAGGACACATTTTCCATTTGTCAAGGACTCCATTTAGTGCAAAAAAGAGCCTTGAGTCTATATATTTTTAGTTCTTCCACAACAAGAGTAATTTTATCCCAAGGTCTTTCTGTGTTTGCTCCTTTTTCTTTGGAATCCACTTAAACTATAAAGGTATTAAACAATCAATTTTTTACTTAAGCTCGATAGCGTGAGGAGTGGTTGCCCAATCTCCCGAGCCAGGGGCTCATGTATTAAACGCTCGAGCATTCCGGATCAAATGGGAATTTAGAAATGCTGGTTTTTGCGTAACATTGAAAATTGAAATTCAAAGGATTTTCCAGCATCGACTGCAATTTTCAAGGACTTTCACGGTGCGTGCGAACCCTCAGGTCTTATAAAAATTGACCGCTTAAAAGAGGGACGGGTATCCCGTAAACGATATTAGTATCCAGCTCAAGTAATCAATGTTAAGGTAAAGGGGTCAGGGTAGTCTTAAAGGGCAATATAGGTAACTGAGGAGGCGGATATGAATTGGAAGCTCCTGGAAAGTACCAATTCACGTCGTTCAAGAAAACAAGTTTTCTATCACTTGGCCTGAAACGGAAGCCAAGTAAAGTTCTAAAATTTCTACTCACCCAGTCTTGGCAAAATTACTCCACAGCGTCATAAAGCTCTTAGCAAATCTTACTTGAATTTCACTTGTTTGATTTTTCTGCGTCACAAGAGGAAAGCCAAACGTGTAAAAAATATCTGCCCCATGATATATTCCGTTATCTTCTGGTACAGGTATACCAAGCACAAACTTGGGAGCTATCTCTAGTTGGTAAAAGTACGTTGGAACTTGCTTCTTCACAAAAAATTCTGCTGACTCCACAGCGGGAGCTTTGAAGAACGAGTCGGTAAAGAGATGGATGAACTGCTCGCGTAGCACATAGGGGTTGCTGACATTGGACCAGTTTGTGTATTCATAAATAAGCAAGTCTGTGATTCTCTTGGTTTGATGCCGAGTCCAAAGTCTGTTCCTTATCTCTTTCTTGAAGAGTGTCCTTGAAATGCCGTGTGAAATGTTGAGACCTTTAGTGATACCTTAAATACAAAAATATTTCGAATGTTTGAAATAATACTGAGAAATATATGCTAATAACTTTGTGTAAATTAAGCTTAGGAATTTTGTGGTTAGGGCCTGAAGCTCTTCCTGACACAAGCTTACTGCTAACTCAAGTGTTATTGAAGGCGATCCATTATTTACTGTTGAGTAATTCAGTCGGTTATAAAACCGAAAATTTTGATGTCAAGTGTTGATAGCGCCATCCATCTTTGGAGCGCCCGGACCCTCTATGGAAACTGCGTGATGGTAATGTTCGAAGCCTATCCCACAGAAATGTTAACCTTTCGATCACAAGGCCTCCAACAGTTCAGGCTGGAAGCTGATTTATTCCCGGCTCAGACTTGTTTGACCAATAATCGTGGGATAAGTGAGTCGGACTTTTACCTGGTATCGATATCACGAAAACGCCACCATCGTCCCGAGTTACCCCAACAATGACATTGGTAGCGTTGAACTTTCCAGCTTGTAAGAGTTTCGGAGGAGAATCTAGAATTAAATAAAAATGATGATGATGATGATCGAGCATTCCCAAAGTGCACTTTTGTAACATAAGCGTGGTCTGTGTAGGAGTGGTGACAATTCTTTTCTCTCCTGTAGCTATTCTCGTATTGCATACAGAAAGAGACATTCTGGCAAATTTTGGTGTCAGACGGTTACTATGGGTTACGTGATATGACTTCACAAAAGACACGATTCTTGTTGAGAAAAAATGCAAGTTATCGCACGTTTTTGTGCAAAAGATGCAACAATTCAAAATGTTTCCGTAATAATAACAAATATTTAGGCCTGAAGAAGGAAATATGCTCAGTGTCTTTAAGTTCGAATTTTCAGAATAACGCAAGACCGCCGACACATATGACAAGAATTTTGCTCTTTTATCAAAAACACGAGTCGTTCTTGGGATAATAAACACTAAAATATTCAGTTCAATGAGATAAAAATTGCAGTACCCATATCTATTTAAAACTTCAACGTCGCCAGGAGTATCCTATAGCATTCTTTAACAATTTTGTCTGGGAGATCTGATGAAGTCAGGTCCCGCAATCCCCTGCGGGGGGTTGGGGTTGGTCAAGAGAAAAAATAATGGGACAGAGGGGGAATCTTGGGGCAGGATATCTGTATTTTACTAGAGTTTTTTTAGGGCTTGTAATTAAAGTCTTATCCCTAAGAAGTCCGCACATTTCAATCGATTGTTTAAAGCGTCATCAGGTCCACGCGCGACTGCTTCAGAGAAAACAATTAATGCAGCTGAATATTGTAATGGCTACTGCTGAATTCCCTCTTGGCAACACTTGATAAAAGTAATTAGTATATACACTCAATGATCTTGGTGATTTAAGCAATCTGATTGGTTCGCTATCTCGGACTATTCAACAATATCCACCTCCTAGCGAGTGGATAATGTGTGAGCTCGGTGTTTTTCCCATTTTTTTTTAGAGAACGATCTTTTAAAAGTCAACAAAATCCTAGGGTTGACTTTTTTTGAGGCAAGAAAAGACTTGGAAGGATTCAAAACCGCGTTTTTCCATTTACTGTAGCTGAGTTTTGTGCTCGATGGATTGTTTACAACTCCCGTTTATTCGCGTAGAAGAAGCCGTTTCGTGAAGTACTCAGCGTTTCCTCACAAGAAAATTGGGCCCAAAAATCGAAGTTCATTTATGACAAACAAATTTGAAAGCAAATGTTTGCAAAATCCTACGTTTCAAGTAAATAGGAAAAAGAATGGTACAGGAAGACGACCTCTTACCTCGAGCAACCGAGCCGCCATTTTTGTCAGCACTTCATGCGAAGAACGACACAACAGACCCTCTTGGCTATAAACTTAGCGAGTCGAAAAAGCCTAAAAAACAACAAACCCTAAACAGTTTTTAAGCCATTTCGCTGTTGTTTGAGGAAACAAAAATTCAAACTTTTAAACAGTGGCTTTTTAATGGTTTCCTCTCTGATTTTGTGAGATCACTTCGTGTGTATACCAAAAGAATTATTCTTTTCAATCTGGTGAATAGTGGCTTTAGGAATATTTACCTCGCCGCCTCCAGCCTCGTTAACCTCGATTTCAAAGAATAATTGCTAATTACGAACCTCACGGGAAACCAACTTCCGATTAACTGCAAGCCTTTAATTGGCCAAAACATAACTTTGGTGATATTATCTTAAGGGCTAGACTGGGCTTTTCCCTCTGTGACCCATTATTTCCTCTCAGGTTGTTTTCATACCTGGCAAAAAGTATCCATCCACTACAGGTCCAAGGGGCAAAACATTTTCCTTGGGAAGGACTTTAAGCTGGGCCTCTAGAATCTCATCGACTGATTTCTCTTTCAAGCACTGTTTAAGGGAGGAAAAGTCACATCCCACTAACTGTGAAAAGCTCCTGAAAAAGATTTAATTAATAGTCAAAGAAACTCGATTAATTGAAACCCCTTTTAAATTAAAGGTAAGTGTTACCAAGATACAATGCTACCTGAAAGGTTTTTATCGCTTTAGGCGTCTTTTCCAGTAAACAGAAAAACTGTTTTAAGTGTCACTCGTTAAGGGAAAGAGAAAAGTATTGGACTAACAAAATTGTAGCCTATGCCACACTGACAGACAAAACTTACCGAGGTTAAATTACATCTGCAACACAGGCTACAACACTGGTGAGTCGGGTGAGGTGAAATTTCAATTTTTTACCGCGATGTAGGATTGAGTCGATGTCCTCTAAAGGTTCTTTCTGCTTTATGTAGACTTGCCTACAAGTAGATTTTTTATGTCTTCTGCGGCAAAAAGCGAGCGAGAGAGCGGGAGCCAACTACCGGAACCGGAAATTAGAATCGAAGGACTTCGAGAAAGTCTATGCTTTATACTACTTTTCTAGTAAACTGAAAAACCGTAAAAAGCGTCTTTTTACCAAAATTGCTCAGGCAAGGTAGGCAAGATTTCTAATTTTTTTCTCGCGCGGTTAGGATTGAGTCAATGTCTTCTTCTTCTTCTTCTTCTTTTTCTTCTTCTTTTTTCAAGCAGGTATTTAAAGAAAGAGAGCGTGAGTGTAATAACTTCTCGCTCTCGTACTTAGAAAGCAGTTCGGTGAACCATGCATCGACACGAACTCGCATTTCAATCTGTTGTCGCAAGTGTTTTCTCATAGCGCGTTGTTGTATTTTACCAGTTCAGCTTTACATTCCAGAAAACATTTTTTTAAATCGAAGATGAAGCAAAGGAAAGTTTTGTTTTAATTTCTACGTTTTAACCAGCTTTAGATTTTTAACTAAACAGTCGGAAGGCTCACAAAGGCACGCAACTAAGAGAAAATAATATTAAAGGGGCCTAGTAACAGAGAGGGAAACGCCCATTGAAGCCCTTGAATATCTGAATTTCACCAAAATTACTTTTAGACCAAATAAACACCTGAAATTTATCGGAAGTTGTTTTCCGGAGTGGTCCGCAAAATTCTATTCAGTTTTGTAAAAGGAGAATTTAACAGTCGACATTACAATAACGATTCTCATGCTGAAATCATCTATTGATATCCATGTACTAACCAGAAGTGCACTGGTTCTTGAAACAAATGATTCTAAAAAACGATGTTTGTAAACAGTGATGTCTCATTGCATTGTTTGCTTTGGAAATCGCGCGTGGACTTGACGACGTTTCAAAGAATCGATTAAAAATATGCAGACGTCTCTGGAACAAGACTTCGTTTAATCACAACCTCTAAAAAAACTTTAGTCAAATTCACATATCCCGCCCAACGCCCTAAGATTCTCTCTCCCTACCAGATTTCAGATTTTCACGAAAATTTTTATACTCTACCTGGCCACCGAGTCAGCCTCGTGTCTTTCTAAATAAGAAAAGAAGGCTGTAGCTGTTCCACTCTGCAAGATTGCGTTCTGGTACAAACCATTAGTCAGCGGCGACAACATTAACAATCCAACGCTTATTCCACCTGCCGACTCACCAAATATGGTCACTTTATTGGGGTCGCCGCCAAAACTGAAATATATGAAAAGTTTAAAGATAAATTAAAATTTGTTTATAGCATTTTTATTCCCTACCGGTGAAATTACTTCACTCCTCGTGTCAAATACCCCAAACTCTACCCTCCTAACTGATGCTTAACCCCCCTTCAAGATGCGCTTTCTTTTTTCTCTTGCCGTATAAGAGGTCTTTGAGATAGAAACCCTTTGTTTTGACCCCATTTTCGTCCACGCCGCACTTTTCTGTTCAGGCAAAGCGAAAAGAAAGTTTATCTAGGAGAAAGCGTTGCGCCAATATCTCCCTAGCAATATCTGCATACACTCGTTTCTGTAGGGGTGTCAAACCGTGACTGACATCACGTAATTCAAACATTTGTATTCCGTTTTTACACTAGAAACCTGTCAATCTGACATTACACAGACGAGATTGGCATAACAAAATAAACAGGGGCACCCAACGCCAATTTTCGGGAAAATATCTGTTCGGAAGACGATTTGAGAACTAGAATTTTCGGAACATTTGTTGTAAAATTTCTTGCTTGCCTGCCTCTCCTAGGATTTTCGAACATCTACAAAATGGTATAATTACCCATTTTAAACGGATATTTACCCTAAAAAAGGTCACCTAGAATTTTCGGGAGCCTTTTCCTGGCTGAAATTTTCGAAAAGGGAAGTTTTGATCCCTATAATTTTCGGATCACTAGACTTTCAGCTAGGAAATCCGAACAGATGAAAAGTTTTTAGGGGATAAAAATATGCCTATGTCTACCGTTTAAATACTAAAATACGTTCAACAATGCTATGTTCAGTGGTTTTGAACTATATCCTCGTTGGGTGCCCCTGAATAAACCTCACTAAAAGAATCTTCGATGGCCCAACCAAAAAAAGGGGATGTACATCCGGCGGATAGTTGAAGGACTAATATAAAGTTTCTCGGTTGGCTTCTTTTAGGGGCTGATTTCGAAGAATATCTGAAACCTAAAATATCGGAGAAAATTGAGAATTAGTTTAAACAGTGCATCGTGTCTTCAGGCGGAAAGGCGTCTAGCCTGCCTAGCAAAATTGAAACGTCTTCGCGTAGTCTTTGATTCTAGTTCCTCGTTCTTTGCTCCGAAACGGCATAGAAGCGCTTGCTCCCCAGGCTAGCCAGCAAGCTCTCTGGAAAGGGGGGGGGACATTCTGGGGGAAGAAAGAGGACCCAAGGCTTCCCCCTACCCCGGAGAGCTGGGAGCTGTACTATAAACTAGACTGTCGCCCATAAAATTTTTTATCTCTAGTTAAATCGTATCAAGAAATGGTCTATTGAGCCAGATCAAATTCCTCAAAACAATAGCCTTTTGTCCTAGGTGTTGCTGCCGAAACCACACCGAACAGTCTGTTCATAATCGTTTAATTTTCGACGTGAAGGAAAGAGGTTTTTTGCTCTGACGCGATGCTATTTTAACTGGGGTACTGAGTTGGACGTTGGGCACTTGACAAAGGTCGTTTCCGCTGTGCGGTCGAGGATGCGAAGTCCTTCAGGATAAGTAGTAGATGATGATGACTGAGGGGAAAGTTACGCCACGAAGCGCTTTTTAATATCGTCAAGTAAAACATCGGGTTGTGTGAACGTTTTCTGCTTGCTCATCTTAACTACTATAAGACATGATCAATTTACAGTTCAGATGTATTGTGCAGACAAGGCAGGCGTGTGTATTTTGCGGGTCGAGCAGGAAAACCGTTTCACTTTTGATCGGATCGTAACGTGAAGGAATTTTATTATAGCACTCCTAAGTGCTTTTCTACTCAGTGCTCTGAACAAAGCAAAAAATAAGATTTCGGCTATACTTTTCCAAGCGGTTCAGAGAACGTCCTCAAACCGTTATAAAAACAACGCTTTATTCTTTGCCCGTCCTAGCGCTGTGAATTGATGAAGGTGCGGTCTTTAATCCAACTCCTTTTTCAGATAATTATTCTTCTTTCAGTGCGCGCAAACTGCGTCCCATAATTCTCTTAAGAAAAGAAAATTGACAAAAAGCATTGACTAAAATTGTACCCTTTTTATAACACACAGAAGAAGTATAAAAACCAGCTAGAACTAACAGTTGCCATAAATATTCTGAGAGAACCGGTACTGCGATAAGATCAAACACTCAAACCAAACCAACGTAAGCTTAACTGATGTATCGGTCAAATTGAAGCTTCAACATCCCCCCGGGCATACCCCGGGAATTTGACACCCTTTCCGTCCCGGGGAGGAGGGAATGATTATCAGAGTCTTCCAGGGGGTGGGGAATTTGATCCCCATGCGAGGGGGGTGGGGAATTTAAACTGTAGCCTCGATTTCATGTGAAATCTCTGAGCGCTTTGCACGTGGCGAATTATCATGGCGGACGCGGTGTTAGAGGGTCTTCGTCGAAAAGATGGTGCATTTGTGGCCAATTGGTTACGAGGAAAGGGCGTAAACAAGCTTTGTGCCGTATTTCAAGGTATTCAAATTTTAATATTTTTAATATTTGATTCAGGCTTTGAATAAATACCCGCGATTCAATACAACAATAAAAAGCTCAAAGAGGTCAATAACTTTGACCTACTGCATTCATGTTTATTGATAAGTTGAGCGATGATGCATATCGGGGAAATGGTCATGAATATCGCATGTATGGAATGTAATAATCTCAGTAGCTGGGATTTTTTTATATAGGGCACTTTCTACGTTGCATGACACACGAAGAAAAGCTGAGCATATTCAGTGACCTTGAAGCAGCGATTTCCGCCGCTTTGCACGAGAGTTTTGTTCATAGTAAATACGCCTACCGTGTCTCTCATGTTTTGTTATATTGAAATTATGCAAATTACTTGCTGTATTTATAAAGATTTTGTTCGACAACTGAAGGCGTTTCTGCCGTCCTTCTGTCATTCGTGTGCCTGTGGAATGATAATTGTGCAAATACTTTGCACAATTAAGGACAAGAGTATTGAAGTTACGTTTAACGATTCGTGATAAAATTTGTCAACCACATGTAAACACCGATGTATGTTTAATATTGGGTTTCTTTTTATTTCTTTTTATAAAGCAGTCCAGAATAAATTACAATAAAAACTTTACTGTCTATTGCAACCTGTCTGCAGAATCGGCTTCAAGAGTTCCTACATAATGGATAATAATGAAAGTCTTTAACGGCGGACCATAGGAAATAACCGGAGGTGGGGTGACAATTAATTCCCCCAAAACAATTCCTGAAAGGCAAACTTGTCTAAAAAAAATCCTGCAAGCGGTGATACCTAAAAACAATAAGTCATATGCCCTAGAAAAATATTCCTGCAGTCAAGCGGGCTTTTAAAAAAATTCATGCACCAAAAATTTTTCACCCTCCCTCCGGTTATTTCTAATGGTCCGTCCCAGGAGCCCATCAAATCAAATTTGATGGGCTCCTGTCCGTCCCTAACTGTCTCCGGAGTGGGGGCATTTGATCACTTAAATGGACCCTAGTGTGAGGCATTTCAACGGCATTTGGGCTCGGATAGAGGGAATTTTGAACAAAAATTTTCAAACAAGTCAAATGCTCGGGTTGTTGCCCGGAAGGGATGTTGAAGCTTCTATTTGACCGTTACATTACCTTGCGATGTTTTTATTGACCCATCTCATGGCCTCTATTTGATCCATCATTCCGTAGTTGCCTGTGAGATCGCCACTATTCGAGCTCAGAAAACCAAGGACTCCCAAGCGATACGCTGCTGCTACGACAATAACGTTTCCTTCGGTCGCCAACAGAGAACCATCGTAAAATATAATGTCGCCTCCAGCAAACCCGCCACCGTGAATCCACAGCATCACCGCAAGACCGGAACTACTGCTCTCGTTTTCGGGAATGTAAACACTGAGCCGTAGACAGTCTTCGTCAAAGAGAGAGTGTAAGTGTTGAGACAAGGGAGTCACAGGCTGAGGACAGACACTGCGTGTTGCGTTTGCGTGCAGAGTTGAAGTCCACTTGTCCGGTGGAACGGGATACTCGAAACGCTTCGCCTTTGCAAACGGGATTCCCAAATAGCTTTTAACAGTCTTGTTTGTTGGGAGTTTAGTTACAGACCCGCTGACTGGGCCATAAGTTGTCGTTACAATAGGAGCGGTCGTAGAATGAGATCGCGAAACAACGAAGGTCATGAACATTAAGGGTAATACAGTAAACGAATACATGACCTCAATCATATTTTCGCTTTTCTAAGGGTAATACAGTAAACTACGAACTACATGAACCTCAATCATAACTTTTCGCTAGTAACTACCAGTAACTGGTAACACCACTAGCTATTAGCACAATGATCCGCCAGCAGTTCTTTATACCATCCGCCAGCAGTTCTTTCCATGTGACTGTCCACAGGTAACCCAAGTTCATACCGAATTAGTTTTGGGTCGTCACGCAACGCTCCTTCCTCTATGTTTCATGCTTCAAGGAGGTGCATGATTTTACACAGGGGCATGCAGCAAACGACATAATTTAGGCTATCTAAAGTGCTCTTTGAAAGCAATTTAACTAAATACAAGGTTGCCATTACAGCTACGCTTTAAAGGAAGGCATTTTTCAAGGTATTTCCCACTACCCAGAGGGAATATACCTTGTAGAAAAATACGAAACGGCAAACTGATCCTTACGGCAAGGCAATAATGAAGTAAACAAAAGCCGGAATAAAACAAAAATATATATATATTTATTCACACAAATTGCCCAGTTGGTTTAATGTATATTTTTTGTTGTAGTCTTTTGTTTACTTCTTCATCGCCTGGCCGAAAGGATCAGTTTGCCGTTTCATATTTTTCATATTTTTCTACAAGGTATAAGTTGTTATTGTACTGATCCAGGTCTACAACTGGGAGATCCGGCAGCACTCATTGGTTTGTTGCTGTGGACTTGCCGATATTTTATATATTTTGGAATATACCTGCCGGGGTAACGGTATGTGGCCGCTTAGTGTGGGTTGGTCGCTGAACAGACGTTCGTCAGAAATTAGCATAACCTTTACCAGAAACTTCACTCTATTCTGAAACAAACACCTTTAGAGTATTCTTACAACTTTCGCACAAGATACAGCTGAAAAAAATACAAGAGTAATGTAAAAACAAAACAAACTTTCATCAAAATTGTTGTGGTGAAGTCCTCCTAACTTTGCACGAACAATACTGCAATAGAAACGTATGGCGTTAACTTTAAAGTCAGACTAGCGCCGTTGTCTGTAATTAAAACGTTACACTACGGACCCACAATCAGTCGTCACATTCTATCTTTGTCTCAGTTTATCAAACTGAGACAAGCCAACCTCGTTCCCAGGATACCATATCTCCCTAGAGGAGAGTTTCTGGGTAAGCGGTATGTCTACAACTACGAGCATGCTCTCTTGCATGGAAGTAAACAGCTTGGCCTCGAGACCTGAGACATGCCGACCTCGTTTCCCGCTCTCGTGTTACCTTAAAAGTAACCCTGATAGACCCTAGTGTGGCGAGAAGATTTTTGGTTCTCAAACGTGGCGAGAACTTTTGGCCTGATGAGCTCGTGCATGGAAGACCTAGGGACCCGAACGAAAAATTGGCAACTTTAGGGGAAACTCTCAACTTCATTAATGAGCTGCGCAAATGATGGACAATAAATAGCTTTACTGAAACACACGTTTACTTGGTATCTCTAAGAGAGAATCATGGTATCTCACATTGTATAAGCTAAATGAGTGACAGTTTAGAGAAAGTTTCCTTGAAACTCCACAGAGGCTCCTGTTGGTTACTTTGAAGGCAGACCTAGGTATCATTAACTTGGACACAAAAACTCCCTTCCGTAAGAAACTTAAAAGCAAAGATATTGATGGCTATGAAGGCAGAAACTGAAAATCCAAAGGGACTGCTTAAATAGTCTTTTCACAAAATTAGCTACTGTAAAGTGGCAGTTACGAGCATCTGTACAAAAGCGCATAATTATGTACCTGAATACGTTACAGGCTACTGTCTAAAATAGAGGATAACGTGCATTCAGAACTCGAGAAAGCAACATACGAGATACGTGTATACCTACGGTTTCCTAAATATACATTGCTTTTCCGATTGAATAAATCAAGTAAAGTAAAAAGGTAAAACTTTATTGAATCTCCCAATCAGGGTTTTTCAGACCCAATGTACATAAGCATGTAATTAATTCATAAGCAATTAATTAATGTAATTAATTCTTAAGTTTGAAACGTTGATAAAATGTCTAAACGTTAAAATTATAATAATAGATAAAAACATCAGTAGGTAACTCTCCTAGCTGACCAGAAATGATTCAAAAAGGAATTCTCTGTTTCTTTTTGAAAGTACGCAGGCAGGTTTCTGCAGCAGTGATCGCACGTGGCAATGAGTTCCAGAGTTTAAGTGCTCTATATAGAAAAGGTCGTTGACCTGCGGCCGATTGATAAACTGGAATATTAAGATAGTCCTTATTTCATTGTGTTGCGATCGTGAACAGTACATCTTGTCACGAAGCGATCACTCAAGTAACTAGGTGCTAATCCTTTCGCACACTCAAACGCGAGAACGCCTACCGTATACATCAAATAATAACTCGCAGGGAGCCAGCGTAACTCCTGAAGAACCGGTGTTATAGAGTCAAATTTACTGGTATTTAACAATTATTCCTCGAGCCCGAATGGGCTCTGGGCTATTTACTCAGAGGCCATGAGGGCGAGAGGAATAATTGTGTCAGATATAGCCTAGCAGTAGCTCAACCAATCAGAACGCAGCATTGATAATAGACCACTAGCTGGATTTTACTAATAGTGGTTATTCTACTTGACTTGCAACGAAATTCTGGATATTTTGCAGCTTTGAGATATTTTTAGATGAGCTAGACAATACTGGAGAACAAATCAACTGATATATGCGGTTGAATACTAAATACGAGAAAATTATCATTTGCGAAAATCAGCGGGAAGAGAAATGAGAGAAAGTATAAAAATACGGCCTGGACCAATCGTCCGGCGAACTTTTCATGAGACGAACCAAACTTACTGAGTTAAGTTTATGAAAAGTTCGACGTCTGGCTCAGTTAAGTTTGGATAGTCCAACTCGTTCTATCCATCTGCTTTAGACGGAAAGAACGTCTGAACAGTTCATTTCCCGGAAAACGTCGATCTTCACATGCAACGAACTAAACTCATTAATCAAAAATTTGTATAATAATTAATGTATATTTAGCCTCGTTCGGGAGAAAATTTATTACTGATCTGATTCAACTGATTGGTTCAACGCGCCCTAAGTTCGAGGTCTGACCTAACAGACTATCTTAACTTAATTTAGGTTGACCCAAATTAGCGTTTGGTTCGTCTTATGAAAAGTTCGACGTTTGGCCTAGGCCTAAGAAGGAGTAAATAAGAAGAAGCTAAAAAGGATCGAGGATAAATGCGGATATATATGAAAACTTCTTTAAAGTCAAACTTTGCTACTTTCTTCAGTGAAACTCGTTTATAAATGAAATAAAGTGTCCTCAGTCCTATGACTCCATATTCGTGATTCGAAGGCAGAGATAGGTTAAAGACCTTCATTTGTTGTTCCAGCTACAGTTCTCCCATTTACCTGATGCCTTCGTCTACAGCGTATAACGATCAGGGCAACAAGTAAGATTACAGCGACGGCACCAAATACTCCTGTCAAGATGGCAAGTATCAACACTAGAGTATCTAAAGTGGAAAAAAAAAACCGTTTACCAAATTTATTAGTTCCTCCAGCGGGACATATGTGGGCCTATTAGAGGTGAAGAAACCAATGGAAAAAATAGGAAACCACTCCGAGTAGCAATCCATTCCTCTTACAAAACATGAAAGGTAGACTACACTCGGGGGTAGAAGCGGAATCATTTGAGAGTTGATATTCATGATTCCTGTCGTTTTTGCCTCGATGATTCATGATTCCTCCATCAATTTTCTTCTACATTCATGATTCACGAAGACTTTACATCACCTATTGACTTAATGATTTTCTCAGTGGCAACTTAGTCTCGTTTTGTAGTGTTTCTTTGGCGTTCAAACTTCTATTTCATCCAGACTCGGTATATATCATCATTCGTTTTGTCCAGGTGTGGAGATTTTGTAACTGCATTAAGCACCAGATTGCTGTAGAAACAAGCAGACTATCAGCCCCGAATGCATGCGTTATACAGGGGGGTCCGGGGGCATGCTCCCACCGAAAAATTTTTGAAAATGGAACCCACGGAAACGCCATATCCTGCATTCACTGGATCGAACGTAATTAATTCATACGTGTATTTTGTTGAGCTTTTCTCGGAGTCTCGTTAATCATGATTCCCGAGCCGAAGTACAAAGATTCATGATTCCCACGTTTTTAAAACAAACATTCATGATTCTTACATGTTACGTTACTATGATTCATGATTCCGCTTCCACCCCCGAGACTACACCACCAGTCTACCTCGTTCCACGCTCATTTTTCTAAGGAAAAAAGCGGGTAAAAGTCTTCGGGAAGAGGTTAATCTTAGGTCCTCCTAAACTACTGAACCCGCAAATTTGTAAAGATAACTACAGCTGTATAGAACTCTGAGTATGATAATATTCACCTTTATTGTCATCAGACATTGCCTCGGTTGTGGCTGGCTTGGGGCTTTGTGTGGTTGGTTCTTCTAAAGCTAAAAACTGTTCTGGTAGAAACTCGTTCCACAGCGCCATCTTTTCTGGGCGCATTTTGGACCTAACTGTTAAGTTCGCGCCCAGGCCAGCATACTCTTCTCGCTCAGCTGTGTACTGGGGCCACGTGATCTCCAAGGGTGTCGGAGAGTTGGGGTTTCTGAAAACAGAGTAAGCAATAAGGTATGCCTGTATGTTAACCACACAAGCGAAAGAAACATCGTTGTGGTTCTGGGGCCCGTTTTTTGAAAGTCCGATAATTGAAGGGCTCGCAATGTAGTGGTTGTTTGCATTCAAAATGGGGATTTCAGTGCTTTTGTAGATAATATGATTACTTATCAGTTAAAAAAGGAGCGGTTTGTTAGCTAGGATTCGGCTTGTTTCCTTTAGATTTTGACTTTATTTTGATTTGAATATTTGATTTCGGGCCCGAAAACCAGGATCTTTCTAGGAACGGACATCTGCCAATCGAAGTTATCAAAAAAACTTTCATTGCAAATGAAAAAACATCTTTCGACGTAATGATTTGCTAGACATTATTAACATCATGTCACATGGCTTTGTAGTTAGTACATCGCAGTAAACATAAATAAATAAGTAAATAAATAAATAATAAAGGCATTCGAGAAGCCCGGCTCACTTACTCTGCCTCAAACATTGACACAGGACTTCCACAATAATATGACCAAGCCAAAGGTAATCCCAGTTTTGATACTATGAAACCCCTAGTGTAGTATCGATCTGAGCAAGGGATGCTAGAACCCGTAATGTATTTCTACTAACCCGGTCTTGGCAAAATTACTCCAAAGCGTCATGAACTTCTTGCTGAATCTAATTTCCGTCTCAGTTGTGAGATTCTTCTGAGACAGAAGCGGAAAGCCAAATGTGTAGAAAATATCTGCGCCATGAAATATTCCATACCAGTCTGGTATTGGAACACCGAAGTTAATCTTGGGTGCTATTTCTAGTTGGTAAAAGTACGTTGGAAGTTGCTTCTTCACCAGTAAATTTGCAGACTCTACGGCTGGAGCCTTAAAGTACGAGTCTGTTAATAGATGAATGAACTGCTTGCGTAGCACAATGGGATCGCTGACGTTGGACCAGTCTGTGTATTCATAAATTAGCAAGTCTTCGCTTTTCTCGGTCTGGGGTCGAGTCCAAACTCTATTCTTTATCTGCTCCTTAAATACCTCCCTTGAAATGCCGTTTAAAACGTTTAGAGCCTTCACGAAACCTTTAATGGAATAAAACGAGTATTAATGATAGCCACCTATAAGCAGAAGATCGAGAAAAGATGCTTATAGCTTTGAAAAAGAAGAAACTTAACTAAAGTACTAGGGGCACGCCTGAAAGGAAATAAGTCGTTAGATGGAGGTTAAAAAATAGGTCGGTTAGCTTACTTAGTAAAGTTAACCCCATTAACTGAAAAGTCGAGTAAATATAGAGTAACTTAATTATGTGTTCTCACGGAGGCTTTTGTGATCGAACGGTGAACACCCCGATCAAACTCCGGATCTGGAGGTCCGGGGTTCAAGCTTCGCCCGTCGATTAGACAAGTAACTTAACTCCACCTTGTCTCTTCAGCAAATTAAGGTGTGAATAGGTACTGGCGACATTTTGCTGGTAGGAGGGGGGTAACTCTGCGATGGACTAGTATCCCATCCTGGGGGGATAAGCAATACTCCCACGCATGTTTCATGCTAAGGAAACCGAGATAAACTCCGGCCGTTGGGCCCTTGTCTCGTGTGTACCTTTATCTGTTCTCACTCTGCCGGTTACAAGTCTTATAACACCGAGTAAGACTAAACTTGGTTCAAGTGTAATTTTAAAACACCGAACCCTTGCGCAACTGGTTCATGGTATTTGCTGTAATTGCTCATTCAGGTCAGTTGGTTCACTGAGGCCCAGTTCAGACATCGTGCTTCTGCCGTGCCGAACTTGATTGTAATTTGGTTCGACTGTAGCACGGCAGGAAAACAACTTTGATTCAGACGTCGTGCCAGAGTCGAACCAAATTCAGGATTTACGGATGCCTCGTAACAATTCTTCTCCCAACTCCCCGTGGGAACGCAATCTCGCCAAAATACATTAATATAATTTATGAATTTTGTTTAGCGCGGCAGAAGCACGACGTTTGAATCGCTGCCGTGCCAGAGCCGTGTAGCACGGCAGCGCTTGTCGAACTTAATTCCTTGCCGAACTTAATTCAAAAGTTTGATTCAGACGCCCTGCCTCTGCCGTGCTTTTGTCGAACTTAATTCCTGAATTTAGTTCGGCACGGCAGAAGCCCGACTTCTGAACTGGGCCTGAGTCTGTCGGATCTTACAGATCTCCAAGGAAATTGGACTCTTACCTGCGATAGGCGCCAGAAAAATACTGCCATCGTCCCGTGTTGCTCCGGCCATAACATTACGGGCGCTGACGTTTCCAGCTTTTAAGAGCTTTAAAGGAGAATCTAGTATTAAATGAATTACGAGTCGTCAGAAAATCATAATTAGCGGTATAAGTGTATGACTTTATCGGATTGGATGGTCTTGTAAGGCGGTCTGACTCGTGAGGGGAGGATTGGGGAATGGGAGCCCTAATCAGTGGGAACATAACGATCAATAATAAAATGTATACATAAAAAACAGTTCGTAATAACACGATTTTCATATAAACGAAGTTGTAGAATAAGGAAATATTCATGCAAAAAAAACTTGGTAATAATATGGGGTGGTCGGAGAGTTCCCCTGTCTTGAAACTAGGTTCAATTATGTCTGTCAGCAAGAGAGAATGAGCTACTCATGCTGTGAGATATTATTCAACCTCGGATCAGTCTCTCTTTTGCTCGTGGGAGATAAATTAGGGGATTTCATTCTCGCCCCACTGATGTAAGGTAGTCCGGACTCCGGAACCAGGGGAATTTTTGCTTGAAAAATCAGGAATCCTTGGCTTTGGAATCCGGAATCCAGCTAAAGGACAAGTGGAATGAGAAATCCAGTACCTGGAATCCGGAATCCCCTGCTTGGAATCCAGAATCAAAGACTGTCCAGATTGCCTTACACGGGCGGGGCGTACATTCATTTACGTACCTGGTAAAAAGTATCCATCCACAACTGGACAAAATGTCAATGCATGCTCCTTTGGATATATCTGACTTTGAGCATCAGTAATCTCTTGAAATGTTTTCTTTTTCGCACATTCTTGAAGTGAGGATTCGTCGCATCCCAGTACTTTGGCAAAGCGCCTAAAAAATCGTTAATTAGCAAGATTTATCGTCAGGTTTTTATAATGAACGGGTAAAAATTGAAAATAACAATTTCTGACCTATCTTTTTTTCCTATAATCGGTTTCGCAAAGGCGCGAAACGTAGGTGTAAGATTATCGTGTGATGCGCGCGAGCCTTGCTCCAGACCCTTCGTTATAGCTGCTAGCAAAGATACGAGCGGTTTTTCTGTCTTATGTGTTAAAATTCTTATACTGTACCTGGCTACTGAGTCTGCCTCATCTCTTTCCTGAGCAGCCCAAAGAACTGCTGCTGTACCACTCTGCATAATAGCGTTCTGGAACAAACCACGCGCCAGCGGAGATAACATCAACAATCCAACGCTTGCTCCACCTGCCGACTCACCAAATATGGTCACTTTGTCCGGGTCGCCGCCAAAACTAATTTGCAAATGTTCATAACTTTAGTCAAACAATAACTTTATACGATAGGTGATTGCCATCTATGATGCATTCTTTTTTTGTTTTTTGTGTGTATGTTTTTCTTTTCCCATAGCAATATTCAATGTATGCAAGGATGGCTGTGTTGGAAATGTCTTCGGCCTGCAGCCCGCGTCTTCCTCATCTTTTCCTCGCCTTCCCTTTCGCGCGATCTTCGACGTCCGCTTAGTATTCACTTGAAAAACGCGGAAATGTAGGCTAGAGAAATGTGTTGAAGGAGAAAATAATATGCATTCGTTTTCTGAGAGTTTGCATGACTATTGAGGCTAATCAGGTTTAATTAAATTGATATTAGCATTCCTTTTTCTCCAAGTCCAGACCAGTCCCTTCTAGGGGAGGGAGTAACCTTGAACAAAGGACAATTGGATAGAGATGTGCCGCCAAAACATTCAAAACCCTGACCCTTTTTAAGACAAAATTCTGTGTTTAAGAGAAGAAACCCATATCATGGCCGGATTTATTTTGTTCCTCAAACAGTATTTTAAGTATTTCTTTTTAAACCAACATCATTAAATCGTTGGTAAATAGACTAACCCTACCTCGCGCTTTAGCAGCATGTAGGCTAACCCGTAAGGGCCAAAGAAAACAGTGCATCTCCCCCCCTCCTCCGCTTTCCCTCACCCAGCCCGCCTTTCTTCACGAAAAAAGGTTTTTCAGCCATATAAATTTAAGATTTCTCAAAAAGAACCTACCGAGCCAAGTTATCATGACCTCGAGCTTGGTCAATAACGAATAGGCACAGCATAAAATAGAACCAAAACGAAATCGTACTTTCATTATATTAGGTCCATTATAGCTTTGCATTTTTTTCTCTCTTGGACTAATGATCACTTCAAGGTCTCATTTTCGCACCATCAACAAGATCATAGTTAGGGCCATGTTATTATTCAGAGATCGAGAAGATCCGATATCACGCACTATCGCGTGACTTTTTAGCCGAGTTGCCTCTGCCCTTTATTAACCTTTTACATACCTCCCGATGTTTTTATTGACCCATTTCATGGCCTCCACTTGATCCATCATGCCATAGTTTCCTCTTAGACCACTGCTTCTCGAGCTTAGGAAACCAAGAGCTGCCAAGCGATACGCTGCTACTACAACAATAACGTTTCCTTCGGTTGCCAACACAGCACCATTGAATGACAAAGTGTCACCTGAAAGAAAAGCTCCGCCATGAATCCAAAGCATCACTGCAAGGCGAGAACCGCTTGTTGCGTTCTCGGGGATGTAAACACTGAGCATTAGACAGTGTTCTTCGTTGAGGAGAGGGCGTTGGTACTCCGCCCCTTGAAGCACATGCTGAGGACAGACACTGCGTGTCGCATTTGCGTGTAGAGTTGACGTCCACTTGTTTGGTGGAACGGGATCCTCGAAACGCTTCGCCTGGGCGAAAGGGATTCCCAAATAGCTTTTAACAGTCTTGTTTGTCGGTAGTTGGGTTACAGTCCCGCTGACAGGGCCATAAGTTGTGGTAACAGTAGGGGCGATTATGGAATAAGACCGGGAAACAAGGAACGTTATGAGGAATATCACTGCAATGAGAGAATTCATGGCTTCTGATCGCACTTAGTGAGAACTGACCCAGACCCAGCACCAGCCCAAGTCCCGTCTGCTAATGTAATTGTTATGTAACAGGGTGTTTTTTTATAGGGATAACGTATTTCCGGTCATCGACTCTCGACAACTCTAACCTTGAAGGGAAATCGAAAAAGGTTCGAGTTATTGGAAGCTAGAAGCAATTAGCCGAAAGTGAGGGAAAAATTAGTTTTTACTGTAGAGTGAACATTATAATCACATTTAATTGTAAAAAATCTTAGGTGAAAATTGAAAGATACTTCTAGATTATAAATCAAAACGTAGCGTAATAAGGCAGCCTAAGTAGAACATGCGTTTTACTATTTTGAGAAGTAAAGTTGTTTCACGTTACATTTGTGACAAACAACGTCAGCCTTCGCTTGTAATTAAACTACAGGGTGTCCCAAAAGTTCGTTCCTCTACTTTATAAGTCTGTATTTCAGACTGGATGATTGGACTTGGTAAGCAAATCATTGAAACAATATTTGTCTTTCAATCTAATTAACCAGTTTCATACTTGTTGTGCCATTTTTTGACTCGAATATTCGATTTGTGTACTACCTCGCCAAAGGTGCGCGTACGCGAATATATTTTCCAGCCACATATTTTTTGTATTTTATACCCCGAATTGCTCGAACTCCTTCCTTGTTTTTTTGTGAATATCACGAAAGATAAATCCCCTTAACGCAAAAACGTTCAGCTGTTTTAGAGGATGAGCATGTATATTTCGATTTACTGGCTTATCTGTCGTAGAAACTGCTAAAAAACTGGAAAAATCCGAATGCTGCGTGGTAAAATGATCATGGAGGAATGACGGTTTTGAAGGCAAGAAATGAAGGCGAAGACCAAAACTCCTGAATGAAGCAGCTAAATAGTTTTAAAGAAGGCTAGATACAAAAAAGGAGACTCGACGACAAAGCTCTCACATACGGTTAGCAAGTCAAGTCCAGAAAGGGTCACGAAAAGCTGTTTAAAATGTTTAAAGTTAGAGGCTCCTGAGATGGCAAAAAAACCTCTCCTTAGTCCGCCAAGTAACGCCCAGCTCGTCTCAAGTTGTAGAGAAGTACAAAATCTTGCTGTGGAAGGAGGCCGGGATGACTATCGTTTTTGGATGAATGCCCAAAATATATTTTTTCCAGCTGCCTATAAACTAAACTGAATAATGTTTGGGGGTTTGAACTGGTTCTTGCACACCAGGTGATAAAAAAGCTCAAAAGGGATCATCTGAGGGTCTGCAAGCTGTATCCCACTTCATGCCGCCACAGCTACAGAATTTGATAAAAAAAAAACAAAAAGGGCATGCCAGTTACTGAAATTCTGAATACATGTACTCAATAGAAAAATAAACATCTTCTAGCAATTTCATAAAGTTTTGATCAAAAATTATGGTGCATGAATTTAGGGGAACGAATTTTTGGGACATCCTGTATATGCCTACAACACGACAATGGGAAATTCAAAATTTTAATGTTTCGGACGCAAGTACACTTTTTTCGACTATTTAAGCGCTCAGAACATGGTTCGAGTTATCGAGGTTAAAAGTATATTGAAACGATCTGAGGGGAAACAAAATTTACTTCGACCTAGCGGGAGGTTCGAGTTACCGAGATTAAAATTACAGTAAATGTATGAAGAAAATCCAGGAGAAATCGATTTTGGTTCGAGTTATCGGGAGTCAACTGTACTGCGTTTTTTTGAGCGGGGCGTTGGGGTCTATGAAAAACCGAAAAACCGCTCCAAAAATTACCCAGAACCGATAAACATAGATAGATTTCAATAAAAACCGAAAACTTAATACAAAACCATCATAAACGAAGATTTATACAGCTCAATTTTCAAAACTCTAGTCTAGATCTCAAACGTTAGTGAAATGTGAAACATAAGGACCAAACGGAAGAATTGAAGAACAGTTCCCCCAAAACCAAAAACACCTGTTGGCAGTCTGTCGGTAGACTGTCGACCGACAGTTCACCGACAGACGACTAACAGACGGGCGGCCGACAGATTAAAACTAACTCTGGTTTGTTAAAGAAAACTGATACTCAAGTCACTCAAACTATCTCTTTTACCTTGATCAATAAATGTGAACTCTCAACTTGAAAATCGACCTACAGCTTTCCCACAGTTTAACGACAATCGAGTCGGCCGTTTGTCGGCCGCTTTTTGGTGGACGGTCGGATGATCGTAAAACCGGCTTATCTGCCCTAGGATGTCTAGGAGAATTCACAAAGATCCTCCATTAAATATTGCGTTCGCAAAAAGCTCTCTGATCAAAAAATCCAGAATCCCATATTGGAGTTTCACCTGTATTGACTGTCAAATAGAAACATATAAAATAGCCTAACATCTGACTGCAGAGAGACCCACAGAGGAATCTATAACGTGCTTTATTTTTGCCAAAAAACCGAAAAACCAGATGCTAAAAAACGGAAAAACCGGAAACCGCAACGGATACTAAAACCGAAAAACCGACCTAAAAATGGCCAAAACAGAAAATCCCAACGCCCCCCTCTTTTTTGACCTTCCCGTATTATATAATTAATAATGAAGTAATTTTCAAGATTCTAAGGAAGTATTAGTACGTCTCTACAAGGCTTATGTTCTCTCTTTCCTAGAGTACTGCAGTCCGCTTTTGCTGGGAGTAGGTAGTGCCGAGACTACCAAAATAGAGACCACTAACTATTTTATATTGAGAACTATGTTAGGTTATTGGTAGTCTGTGTCATACAACTTCCTCCTTAAAATGGCTGATATCAAGTCCTTGGAACAACGTAGCAATTCTACGACAAGGGAGCACCTTATATCAGTGAATTTTTTATTTTTAAGGATGTGTCGTACAATTTGCGTGGTCTTAGCACAAGGCTGGATTTACCTCCCTTTACTCTGGAGCTTATGCATCGATCCTTCAAGCCCTAAACCAAATGCTTTTTTGCCGTTCTCGTTGAAGTCGCCGTCGTCGTCACTTAAGACTAATATTCACTGGCAGGGTACGCAGGCTACCCAAAGCGAGTATGGCAGGTGTATAATGTTGAGTGAGTGTTTACTTGCAAAGACATAGACCGAGTAGTAAGGTTTTATAACCGTTGGTATAAATAATTAGAGTGCGGTTTAGTCTTCTGAATTCGAAAAAGGCCTTGGTGCCGGCTACATTTAATTAAAATTGGTCTCTTCAATCTCCTTTCCTCTCTCCCGTCGCTTGTTGCGGCAAATGACGATTAGGACAACAAGTAAGATTACAGCTACAGCACCAAATAGTGCTGTTAAAATGGCGAGTATCATCAGTAGAGTATCTAAAGTGAAAAATGCAATAAACAAATTAGTCAGTTTCGCTAGTATAGGAGGGACACCCCAACGAGTTGCAACCAATTCACTTTTGGTAAAAGTGATAAAAGCAATCCGTTATCTTCCTTAGGGATAGTATGAGAGCGGAAGCATGCACGGAGTTGCGGGAAAACTACCACTGTATTTGACACGCCTCATTTTTACTATCCTTGCTATTCTTTACTGTAACACCGCATCCTTCATTTTCTAAGGCAAAAAGCCTTGGGAACGGGTTTGGGTTCTACCCCACCAGTCTCAAATTATTTTGTAAGCGACCAACTCCCATAAACGACCGGCTTTAATTAACGGGACACCGTAGGCTACCTCAACCCAATGGAACTACTCCGAGTAGCAATCCCTTCCTCTTACAAAACATAAAAGGTAGACTACACCATTAAGCTTGTGTACAGACGTCCTCATCCCCTCAGAAAACAACGGGGAGAGAGACTCTCTTTCTAAGCCTGTCTGTACACAGACTAACTACACTTCCAGTCAATTTCCCCTCGATGTCCTTTTCCTTGAAAAATGGGATGGTAAGGTCCTGGGGATGAGGCTGATAACCAGTCATATAAAAGTTCCGACCAGTCTCTGGGCTTCCGGAGAACAGTATCCAAAATTTGCAAGAATAACTAGCTGTATGAAAAACTCTGATTACGATAATTTAACTACATGCCAATTCAGTTAAAAGTCTGAATTTTAGAATATATACCTTTATCATCATCAGGCTCCGTCTCAGTTGTGCCTAAGTTTAGAATTCATCACGCATTGCCTCATCAGTTGTGTCCAGCTTGGGACGCTCTGTGGTTGGGTCTACTTGTAACTGTTCTGGAAGAAACTCATTCCACAGCGCCATCTTTTTTGGGCGCATTTTAGACCTAACTGTTAAGTTCGCACCCAGGCCAATATATTCTTCTCGCTCGGCTGAGTACTGGGGCCACGTGGTCTCCAAGGGTATCGGAGAGTTGGGATTCCTAAGATAGAATAAGCATTCAGGATCATCCAGGCTCTGATGGTATGAATTGTAAAACTATTTTAATCCGCAGGAAAAAACCATCGTCCGACGCACACTAGCAGAGCTTTGACAACGACGACAGCGAAGGTACAAATGAAGGTGAATTTCTCTGAAAATGAATTCGTCAGGAACCGAGCGCGATCTTGAGGTTAGAAAGAGAAAGAAAAATTTGTCTACAAACTCGACACCATCTCTTGAGGGAATTTCACGTCGTTGTCGTGCAATGACGGCAAAGAAATGTGCCAAACAACGTTATGCGGGTGTAGAGTTGTAGTTTTGCTTATTTGACGTTCTCGTTGCTTTTGCCGTCGCCGTCGCCGTCGCCGTCGCCGTCGCCGTCGCCGTCGCCCTAGCCGTCCCAGTTGTTAGGGAGCTTAAACAAGGAGGACGGCGACGGCAACGAGGAAGGCAAAAAACCAGTAGGTTTAGGTTAACAAAATAACAACTTTGCACCTGTATCACGCTTTTTTGTAAATTTCTTTGCCGTCGCCGTACGACTACTACGTGAAAGTGCCTAATTTCACGTTTTGTCGAGGACGGGAACACAAGACAGCAACTTTCTTCTTCCTTTCGCGAACTTTGTGACTGTCCTTTAGAATTTAACTCCAACAAAAATTGCCAACATTTGACGAATTAAGCGAGATAGAAAAAGCGTCCTAAAGTTTAAAGCAGCCAGGATTCACATTTTAAGTGACGTTTTCGTAACTAACAACGTATGCATGCCTTCACAGTAAGCAGTAATGTCTTTCCAGTGACTCTATTACTCTGCCCTATACGTTGGCACAAGGAATCCACACTCAACTAGAGATAATCCCTTTCTGGTTCCGTAAAACACTTAGTAATATTGCTTAGTGCAAGAGATGCTAGTACCAATTATTTCTTTCTACAAACCCTGTTTTGGCAAAATTGCTCCACAGCGTCATGAACTTCTTGCTGAATCTAATTTCCGTCTCAGTTGTGTGATTCTTCTGAGACAGAAGCGGTAAGCCAAATGTGTAAAATATATCTGCTCCATGAAATATTCCATACCAGTCTGGTATTGGAACACCAAAGTTAATCTTGGGTGCTATTTCTAGTTGGTAAAAGTACGTTGGAAGTTGCTTCTTCACCAGTAAATCTGCAGACTCTACGGCGGGAGCCTTAAAGTACGAGTCTGTTAGTAGATGAATGAACTGCTCGCGTAGCACAATGGGATCGCTGACGTTGGACCAGTCTGTGTATTCATAAATTAGCAAGTCTTCGATTTTCTCAGTCTGGGGTCGAGTCCAAACTCTCTTTCTTATCTGTTCCTCAAATACCTCCCTTGAAATGCCGTTTGAAACGTCGAGAGGTTTCGTGAAACCTTTAATAGAATAAGAAAGGTACGAGTATTGATAATAGACACCTAAGTAGAAAATTGAGAAAAGGTGCTAATGACTCTCTAATAAGTTTGAAAAAGGGTTTTTTAACTTCCACCAAAGTACTTGAGTCATGCCTGAAAGGAAACGAGTCGTTACAGGATGGACATATTTATTCTGCTGAATGTTTTGGTGACAGTGGTTATAAAATCAGATTCTGTTAGTTTACTTAGTAGATATGATTAACGTAACTGAAAAATTCGAGTAAATAGTAAGAGTAACTTATGTGTTGTCACGGAGGCGTTTGTGGTCGCTGAGAGGTCAACACTTCAAACTCCGGATCTGGAGGGCTGGGGGTCAAGCCTCGCCCGTCGCTTTGTTTCCTTAGACAAGAGACTTTACTCCACGTTGTCTCGCTTCTCCCAGGTGTATAAATGGGTACCGGTAACATATTGCTGGGGAGTAACCCTGCGATGGACTAGCATCTCGTCCAGGGGGTAGTAGCAATACTCCTATGCATGCTTCATGCTAAGGAATCGGGGATACGCTCCAGCAGTTTAGGGCCTTGGCTGGTGTGCACCTTAATGTGTTCACAGTCTGTTGCAACACCGAGAAAAACTCAATTTGGTTCAAGTGTAATCACAAAACACCGAACCCTTGCACAACTGGTTCGCGTATTCAGGTCAGCTGGTTTACTGCGTCTGTCTCTAAGACTTTTCTACTTACAGATCTCCAAGGAAATTGGACTCGTACCTGGTATATCCGCTAGAAAAATAACACCATCGTCCCGTGTTACTCCAACCATAACATTACTGGCGCTAAATTTTCCTGCTTTTAAGAGCTTTAAAGGAGAATCTAGAATTAAACACATTACGAGAGGTCAGAAAATCATAATTAGCTGTATAATTGTATGGCTTTGTCGGATTGGATGGTCTTGTAAGGCGGTCTGACTTGTGAGGGGAGGATAGGGGAATAGGAGCCCGGAACAATGGGAACATACCGATCAACTACAAAAGGCCCTGGCGGTGCTTCCTTATAAGAGGCTAATGAGGATGTGCCACTGGATAGGGTCGCATTTTCACGACTGGATTGACTATAATGGGGTCGCACTTTCAATAGAGGTGCTAGAATCGGGTCGCACATTTTCTGATTTTTGGGGTAAGATAGTTCTTTACATTTATGGTCAGCAAACGTACAAGAATGTTTGTACTGTAGGTGAAAAGTAAAGTGTTCTTCATTCAATATAAGGTAGATACATAAATAGAAAGTGACTAAGTTGGGATCGCGAAAATTATGTATTTGACCAAAAGTGACTAAGATGGGGTCAATAATTGTCCTAAGTATAATATCTATTCTATTTTTTGTTTTGTTTTGTTTTGTTTTTTTTTGCTGTCATAATATACAGTTTTACTAGGGGGCACAATATTAGTCTAGTGCCTAGATGTGGCGCTCTCCTACTTAGTATTATTTTATTTTCTTTGTGAATAGTTCTGTAATTAATGCTAAGTGGACAAAAACTAAAATACAAATAATTAGCCACAGAACAGACTATAATGGGGTAGGGGCTCTGAGACGCCAGCGACAGATACCCAGCAAAAATTAACCCAGGTACCCCCCCCCCTCCCACCAAAAAAGTTAATAGCTCGTAACAACACGATTTTCAGATAAACGAAGTTGTAGAGTAATGAAATATTCGGGCCAGAAAAACTTGGTAATAATAAGGGGTGGTAGGGGAGTTCCACTGTCTTGAAACTCGATCAATTATGTCTGTCAGATATAATTCAACCTTGGACAAGAGAGGATAAAGATTTATCTTCTCTTGCCTTGGATCAGTCTCAGTCTCTCTTTTAATCGCAGGAGGTAAAGTAAGGAATTACATTCTTGCCCCACTGATGTAAGGTAGTCCGGACTCTGGAATCTTGGGAATTTTTGCTTGAAATATCAGGAATCTATGGCTTTGGAATCCGGAATCCAGCTAAAGGAATTCAGGATCCCGCCAACAAGTGAAAAATATAAGGAATCAAGTGCCTGGAATCCGGAATCCCAAGCTTGGAATCCAGAATCAAAGTCGACTGTCCAGACTGCCTTACACGGGGAGTACATTCGTTTCCGTACCTGGTAAAAAGTATCCATCCACAACAGGGCAAAAAGACAAAACATGCTCCTTTGGATATATCTGAATTTGTGCATCAATAATTTCTTGAAATGTTTTCTTCTTTGCGCACTCTTTAAGGGAGGATTCGTCGCATCCCAGTAATTGGGCAAAACGCCTTGAAACGAAATCAGTAATTAATACCACAAGCCTCAGCGTCCCAAAATTTATAAACTGCCTAGCGTCTGGTTGCTATGAAGCCCAGGGGGGGAGCACTCTAGGGTAGTTTGAGTAGAGAAGGGTATAGGTGCACCGCCGAAGCCTGCAATTGCTCTGTTGGTGCCACAAATGGACACCGCTCATCTGCAGCCGTCACACTGCTTAAAACTCTTTTTGATCGAAAAACAAACTCTATTAAAGACGCCACATAGTGAAATTATCAGAGATTCAATAACCTGTTTAAGACTGAAGACCCTGAATGAAAACAATACCCTGCTGTTCAGCGGCACATATCCGTTTACGTCAAATAAAGGAGAGCCTCGCTGGGCTATGAAGTAACGAAATCGTCCAGTTGGGTATCCATTATTGCAAGACTTATGCAGATCACTACCGCAGCGCTCGAACTCGAAAAAGATACTTTTTTCAGTCATCTATTTTTTAATGTACTTTTTTATGTATTCACCCCACTCTAAATTCGCCAATCACATTCCTCTAATTATGCATAAGCACATATCGACATTTCCAGTGCTAGCAGTGATGCAGAATGTTTGACACATGATCCTAGTTTAGTGGCCTTAGCTCCCATGACTCTCCTGTAGCTCTATGATAGAGCATCTGGACTTGTTATCGAAAGACCTTAGGTCCGACTTGTTGAATTTTTGCCTTTTTAATTGAAGTCTACCAGGTTTCCATATAGACAAATGTCTAAAAAACAAAAACTAAACATAACAACGTTCACAGTAATCACATGGCGATCGAGACTATGACGTGTCTCGGATAATACACAATGTCATCAAAATAATCATCATTTAAATACATAAATAAACGGTTCAGTAACAATGTCATTTTCCACACGACTCCTGTTGGAAGTACTCGGACTTGTTCTTTCGAGCGCCTGTGTCACTGATTGAAAAACTTCAGCGCTGCATCAGATAATCTATCGGCTAATTATTCAAGGAGTCAGCTTATTAAAGATAAAATCAGAGGTAAAAGTAAAGATAAAAAAGCGTCTCGACTTTATAGTTGACGTTAAACAAAGTATTTTGAAATTTGGGTGTGAAGTTTAGCCCATACTAAAAAGCATCACCTTCTTGTGACCGTTCACGCAGTGTCATTTGACGTTATCGGATTAGTTATGACATTGGTGGGCAGAATGCTAGTAGTTAATTCTCAGTTTCCTATTATTTACTAAATGTGTTAACCCTTTAAGCCCTAAGAGTGACCAGCATCAAATTTCCCCTTGTAATATCAATGCTTTGTAACACAGAGTGGTCATGAAAATTACGGACATGATTACACAAGATGAATTTACTTGATATTTTATCAACTTCTCCCCACTACTTCAGTAGGAAATGAATAGGGGCAACAAATGAGAATTCAAATTTTGATCCTAGGCTTTAAAGGGCTATAAACCCATGTGCTATCTGTAAACAGTTGAGTACATTTAGAGGATCTCATTAGAGAAGCTCAAGGGAGCTTGAGGAGGCAGCGTGGCCGAGTGGTCAGCGTGTTGGACTCGCAATCCGGGGGTCCCGTGTTCGAGTTCCGCTGTGGCCACTTGCTGGATTAGTTCTCGGTCGTCTTGAGTTCAAATCCTCGGCCACGCTTGTTATAGGCAGCTGGTTGCCTCCTGCCAGTTGGGGTTTCTAATCCTGTTATGTTGTTTTTGAATTATTTGTTTCTAAGTGTTTGCGTGAAGTGCCTGTAAACTAGCTGCATAAGCTAAGTGCACTTTCCACTAAAAATAAGCCAAAAAAAAGGGAGCTTGCTGAGATCCCACGCCAATGTAATTGATTTTCGATGTCTAGCAGAGTTATGACATGTTACTCTAAGTGTTATAGTGTACCCAAATTGCTACAACAAAGTTGCCTGTATTCATTTATTTAAAAGAAATGCAAAAACATCAGCTCTCATCATAGCAAGCGCTCCCTTTCCTAATCTGCTGCCCCTGTTTTGCGCCTGGTACGGAGACGACATCACTTGACACGACATCACCACGACATCACCAACCAAGTGCATTTTTTGCATGACGACATGATCATGATAGCGTGAAATTTGATCCTTCTATCAGATTTTCCAGCTGAGAGGGCGGAGTTAACATTCGGGTTCTTAGCTGGATACCGAGGTTCCATTTTTGTTGTTGATTAGAGCGTGAGGCACGTTATGGATGAATTAATCGTCTTTAATGAAACAGATAGAAATTAAAATAACAAATTTTTAAAAGGCCTGGTTTGTAACAAAATTCATAATACTGCACCTGGCTACGGCGTCTGCCTCATTTCTTTCCTGAGCAGCAAAAAGAACTGCTGCTGTTCCACTCTGCATAATAGCGTTCTGGAACAAACCTTGCGTCAGGGGAGATAACATCATCAATCCAACGCTTGCTCCACCTGCCGACTCACCAAATATGGTCACTTTGTCGGGGTCGCCACCAAAACTAAACATTTGAAAATGACAACTTTAGAAATAATAACTTAACTTTTCTCAGTGATGGCGATCTACAAAGCGTGAAATCTTTTTGTAATAAACAGCCTTTTTTCAAAAACGGATGAGCAAGATTTTAATATATTATGAAAGGGTGACTATGGAAATAAGTTCGAGCTTAAGATAACGTACACATCCGATGTATACGTTTTCGGAGAGGTTGTATAAATATGGACACTGAACAAGTGTATGAATTTTAAACTAATTTCAGCATCAATATAAGCATTCCATTTTCTCCAAGTTGAGACCCGTCAAGCTAAGAATGAGCAGGCCCAAGATTGCTCGGCGTTCAAGGAAAAAATGTCACCCATATAAGAAATCAATTGGGCTCGTTCTCAAGGAACATGACTGAAATCAATTACGTAAATGCAGAGAATAGAAAAACACTTTAAAAAAATGGCATGACTATTCTTGTTGAACTAATAATCATTTTCGCACCATTTATCCTAGTTATCACTCTTGCGTGACTCTACTACTCAGTTGCCTTAGTTCATAGTTGGTAACACTTTCGTACCTCGCGATGTTTTTATTGACCCATTTCATGGCCTCTACTTGATCCATCATGCCATAGTTTCCTTTCAGATCGCTGCTTCTCGAGCTTAGGAAACCAAGAGCTCCCAAGCGATACGCTGCTACGACGACAATAACGTTTCCTTCGGTTGCCAACACAGCACCATTGAATGACAAAGTGTCACCTGAAAGAAAAGCTCCGCCATGAATCCAAAGCATCACTGCGAGGCGAGAACCGCTTGTTGCGTTCTCGGGGATGTAAAGACTGAGCATTAGACAGTGTTCTTCGTTGAAGAGAGGGCGTTGGTACTCCGTTCCTTGCATCACAAGCTGAGGACAGACACTGAGTGTCACGTTTGCGTGCAGAGTTTCAGTCCACGTGTCCGGCGGAACGGGATACTCGAAACGCTTCGCCTGGGCAAACGGGATTCCCAAATAGCTTTTAACAGTCCTGTTTGTCGATATTTTAAGTACAGTCCCGCTTACAGGGCCATAAGTTGTCATAACAGTAGGGGAGGTCATGGAATAAGACCGCGAAACAAGGAAGGTTAACGAGAGTAACACAGTAAAACAATACATGGCGATTGCACTCCACTCAACGATAAGAAGTAACCCGGTCCATGTAATAGAGAGGATAAGTGTGACGTCACGTTACCATGGTAGCACTATTTCTGGATGACAACAAAACCAACGACGACGACGAGGGCAAGGAGAACGGCAAAAGATAATATGTTTATATTAACAAACAACAACTTTGCACGTGCATCAAGCTATTTTGTACATTTCTTTGTCGTCGTTGCACCGCTACGACATGAAACTTCCTAATTTCACGAGCCCGCTTTATGGAGTAAGTGGAAACAACACAAAAATTGTCGCTTTCTTTTTCTAAACTTAGATAATGATAGATACGGTCCCAAAGAAAGTTTCGCCAAGATTTACCAAATTAAATAAAATTGAATAAGATCGTTGAAGTTTGAAATAGTGCGAAAAGACTTTTAAGTGACTTTATCGGTTTGTTGTCATCCAAAAATGTTGCTACCATGGCAACGTGACGTAACAACTTCTCCTGTCTATTGTTATGTAATAGCTGACTCTACTCCAGGAGGCTGAGGGACGACTGGGAACGAGTTAGATCACGTGCTTTTATTACAGGGGATGACGGGAGACTGAAGTAGTCATTAAAAACAAAAACTGAAGGCAAGGTTGGCACTACGGCAAAGGCCTGAGGGCTTGAGCTATTGCCCGAAGTAATAGTGGAGCGTCCGCGCGCGCGAAGCGGAGCGCTAAGGACCCTAAGCTAAAGAACATTGGGAAACTATGGATCCGAGAAAATTTGGTTATGGGCGTCAGCGTACGACCGAACGCCTACCGTCCATACTGACTGATAGGGGTAAAAAATTACTTCTCAGGGTAGGGAAGAGAATCCCAGACGTGTATTTTGCGTTTCGTTTTGGCGCGAAATTAATCATTTTAGGGGCAACCAACGGACCTTGTACTCGACTGACGACAAAATTTTGCGAAAAAGGGCTTTGCTTTTTTCCTTATCATGCTTTTGGACAAGCTCCAGGAGCAATCTAGTCTCTTCTACCCCCGCATGCTCAAAATTTGGACAGGTAAATCAATGAATGAACACTTATGCAACATCAAATATATTAGCCAGGTTTTACTCGAACGAAATATATCATCGCATAATTCTTAGCGGCGACGGCAACGAAATAACAAGTTTGCACGTGCAGCACACTTTTTTTTGAACATTTCTTTGCACGACTACAACGTGGCGGTGCTGGTAGCCTGCGTGGATGAGGGAGCTTCTGAGTCAGCCACACAGTTGTTCTTTGGGACAGGCTAATTCACGCGAGTATGAATGACATAGACCAGAAGAGAATGACATAGACATAGAAGTTAACCTTAGGTGTAACTAATTAATAAGGTACGGTTTGGTCCTCTGAATTCAAAATGTCCTATGTGCTACATGCTTAAAGTAAATATATTAGCCAGGTTTTACTCGAACGAAATATATCATCGCATAATTCTTAGCGGCGACGGCAACGAAATAACAAGTTTGCACGTGCAGCACACTTTTTTTTGAACATTTCTTTGCACGACTACAACGTGGCGGTGCTGGTAGCCTGTGTGGATGAGGGAGCTTCTGAGTCAGCCACACAGTTGTTCTTTGGGACAGGCTAATTCACGCGAGTATGAATGACATAGACCAGAAGAGAATGACATAGACATAGAAGTTAACCTTAGGTGTAACTAATTAATAAGGTACGGTTTGGTCCTCTGAATTCAAAATGTCCTATGTGCTACATGCTTAAAGTAAAACTGGCTTCAATCTCCTTTCCCTGATGTCTTCGCTTGTGGCATATGACGATTAGGACAACAAGTAAGATTACAGCTACAGCTCCAAATACTCCTGTAAACTGGCGAGTATCATCACTAGAGTATCTAAACGTGAGAAAAAAAACCCAATAAGTGAATTAATTAGTTTCGCCAGTTATGGCGTGGACACCCCCACAACCAATTTACTTTTGATAGTAGTGAGTCTCTCTAGGTAGTCAGCAGTCCCTTATCTTCATCAAAGCGAGCGACACACGCCCGGGCAGATGGAAATCGCCACGGTGTTATACCATACTGAACTATATTCACATGTTTTACTGTACTTAAGGAAAATAAGGGACCAATCCACGTAGCAATCCCTTCTCCTCACAACTCATAAAATGAACTAGCCCACAAGTCTTTGCCTCCCGTTTTCGTCTCGTCGCGAAACTCTCCTCTTCTCGGGAGGAGCGTTACGTGACGAGACAAAACGGCTGCCAAGGAGACCACACAAGTGTCATATTACTTTGCATAAGAGATCACCACCTATCCAAAACTCCAAAAATTTCCAGTGAAGCGTTATTGGCTGGAACCCTTACGTAAAACGACGTTTATTTATTTCACATTGTCGTAAACCTATTGTAAGAGACCTCTTGCAACATAGAGTAACAAATTTAAAATGCCACACACTCGGAGTATGCGAAAAACCTTTAGCCTTTCATAAAAACAAATTGTCGAACCGGGACCTCTTCAAATCAGTCAAGTTCGTTAACGGTATTAATCCTGAAAAAAATAAAATGAAGGTAAATGCCAATTAAGAACTCTGAATTTTGGAATATGTACCTTTACCATCGTCAGGCTCCGCCTCAGTTGTGGCCGGCTTGGGGATATCTGTTGTTGATTCCACTTTTAACTGATCGGGTAAAAACTCATTCCACCGCTCCATCTTTTGTGGACGCATTTTCGACCTTACAGTGAAGTTCGGGGCCAGGGCAATATATTCCTCTCGCTCAGGGGAGCGAGAGGAAGGAACAGAGGGGGAACAGAGGCAACAATCAATCTTGTAATCCTGATTTGTTGTTTTCGGCATCCCGTAACCTGTAAGTACTTCCAATCCCGAATATTGGATGGCGGTGTTGGCTCGAGCATAGGGGTCGGGTTTTTTTCTCATATGTTGACTCGGCTGGGACTGTGACCCTCTTTCCTGAGACAACATTTCTCCACATAAACGAGACTGAGTGATTATTGAGATCAGACTTAAACTTCGCAATTGAGGAAACACAGCGAGCAGATGCTAGAAAATACGTCAGTAAGGTGAGCGGGGCCTAAGACGGACAGCTGGTCCCAACCCTTCTCGGAAACAGAGATGAATGTAATTTGCGGTTTTTCACTCCTTCTAGCTGACTCAAGAGCCTAATGCAGGTTATGTTATTTCTTACAATCATATTTGATTACTCATCACAAAATTTCTCTTGGGCTTTTCCGATAAAAATATTGTACCTTTGCACACACTGTATAAGTTTCATAGCTGCGAAGGGAAGGAGAGAGTGCATTATGACATTATCAGCACAATACCTGCGTAGTCAGAAAGAGCTCAGCTAGCTTTACAGTATCCTCAAATTTGGCTTTCATTGGGCCGATATAAATGAAATGCCACTATTCGAAAACAAAGAACAGACATCTAGACAAGTATCCGCTAATCCTTAGTAAATCTTTAGCAACCACCACCGCATAGGCAGCAAAAACGTCATTTGGAAAGCGAGTTCCCGCTGTTTCCAACTTAATTACTATTGCTCAATTTTATAAAATTTGTTTCATGTTGGAGAATTCTTGTGGGCCGAGTTGTTCAAAGGGGGGTTAAGATAACCCAGGGTTAGTGCAAAATTTGAATTCAGATTTGAAAGCTAAAAAAGTAAATGCAGTTTAATTCTTTCTGTCAACAGGTTAATGATAGGATACTCTTAAGAATACGGTGAAAATTATAAGAGAAAAAGCCTTTGAACAACAACAAAAAAGAAAGCCGGGTTAAATTTAACCCTGGGTTAAGCGCTAATCGGCCTTCGAACAACTGGGCCCTGGAGTTGATTCTAAAGGACTGTATCTAAGTTCAGAAAAAGAAAATCGTTATCCTACGTTCACGTCCTCCATAAAACGTGAAATTACGCAGTTTCACCTCGTGGTCGTACAAGGACGGCAAAGAAATGTACAAAAAAGCGTGATGCACGTGCAAAGTTGCTGTTTTGCTACTCCAAGGGCCTGTTTACATGGAGGTGGGGAACCCAGGTAGGCGAGGTAACACTCTTAAGTGGGGTAACCCGACTGTCCATATAATCTCTCATATGGTCACTCCATCCCCATCACGTAAACGTAATCAAATAAAATGAGAGATTATATGGATAGGCAGGTTAACCAACCTATGCAGGTTACCTCACCTACCTGGGGTACCCCACCTCCTTGTAAACAAGCCCTAAACCAAATGCTTTTTTGCTTTTTTGCCGTTCTCACTGCCGTCGCTGTCTCCTTTACTTAAGATCCCTAATATTCAATGGCAGGGTACGTAGCCTACCCAAAGCGAGTATGGCAGGTGTGAGTTTTTACTCGCAAAGACATAGACAGAGTAGTAAGGTTTTATAACCGTTGGTATAAATAATTAAGGTGCGGCTTAGTCTTCTGAATTCAAAAAAGGTCTTCGTGCCGGCTTCAATCTCCTTTCGTTTCTGCCGTCGCTTTAGCATGTTGCGGCAAATGACGATTAGGACAACAAGTAAGATTGCATCTACAGCACCAAATACTGCTGTTAAAATGGCGAGTATCATCACTAGAGTACCTAAAGTGATAATTGCAATAAACAAATTAGTCAGTTTCGCTAGTATAGGAGGGACACCCTAAAGAGCTGCAACCAATTCACTTTTAGTAAAAGTGATAAAAGTAATCCGTTATCTTCCTTAGGGATAGTATGAGAGCGAAGGCATGCACGGAGTTGCGGGAAAACCACCACTGTATTTGACACGCCTCATTTTACTATCCTTGCTATTCTTTACTGTAACACCGCATCCTTCATTTTCTAAGGGAAAAAGCCTTGGGAACGGGTTTGGGTTCTACCCCACCAGTCTCAAATTATTTTGTAAGCGACCAACTCCCATAAACGACCGGCTTTAATTAACGGGACACCGTAGGCTACCTCAACCCAATGGAACTACTCCGAGTAGCAATCCCTTCCTCTTACAAAACATAAAAGGTAGACTACACCATTAAGCTTGCGTACAGACGTCCTCATCCCCTCAGAAAACAACGGGGAGAGAGACTCTCTTTCTAAGCCTGTCTGTACACAGACTAACTACACTTCCAGTCAATTTCCCCTCGATGTCCTTTTCCTTGAAAAATGGGATGGTAAGGTCCTGGGGATGAGGCTGATAACCAATCATATAAAAGTTCCGACGAGTCTCTGGGCTTCCGGAGAACAGTATCCAAAATTTGCAAGAATAACTAGCTGTATGAGAAACTCTGATTACGATAATTTAACTACATGCCAATTCAGTTTAAAGTCTGAATTTTAGAATATGTACCTTTATCATCATCAGGCTCCGTCTCAGTTGTGCCTAAGTTTAGAATTCATCACGCATTGCCTCATCAGTTGTGTCCAGCTTGGGACGCTCTGTGGTTGGGTCTACTTGTAACTGTTCTGGAAGAAACTCATTCCACAGCACCATCTTTTTTGGGCGCATTTTAGACCTAACTGTTAAGTTCGCACCCAGGCCAATAGAGTACCGAAGTGATGACGTCATAAAAATGAAATTTGTGAAATTATGGATTTGTTAAGATATTCTGAAAGAACAACGTCCAAGACGCCTACTCGCCAAAAATTAGCAATTCGGGCCAAATTGTCTCTGAGATATTAGCCCAGTTATGCTGTGACGATTCCATACAAATCCTTCTAAATTTGGCTTGGTTCATAAGATTAGGAACCAGGTAAGATTTAGAAGGATTTGTATGGAGTCATCGGAGCATATCTGGGCTAATATCTCAGAGACAATTTGCCCCAAATTGCTAATTTTTGGCGAGTAGGCGTCTTGGACGTTGTTCTTTCAGAATAGCTTAACAAATCCCATAATTTCACAAATTTCATTTTTTATGACGTCACACTTCGGTACTCTATATATTCTTCTCGCTCGGCTGAGTACTGGGGCCACGTGGTCTCCAAGGGTAACGGAGAGTTGGGATTCCTAAGATAGAATAAGCATTCAGGATCATCTAGGCTCTGATGGTATGAATTGTAAAACTATTTTAATCCGCGGAAAAAACCATCGTCCGACGCACAATAGCAGAGCTTTGGCAACGACGACAGCGAAGGTACAAATGAAGGTGAATTTCTCTGAAAATGAATTCTTCAGGAACCGAGCGCGATCTTGAGTTTAGAAAGAGAAAGAAAAATTTGCCTACAAACTCGACACCATCTCTTGAGGGAATTTCACGTCGTTGTCGTGCAATGACGGCAAAGAAATGTGCCAAACAACGTGATGTGGGTGTAGAGTTGTAGTTTTGCTTATTTGACGTTCTCGTTGCCGTCGCCGTCGCCGTCGCCCTAGCCGTCTCAGTTGTTAGGGAGCTTAAACAAGGAGGACGGCGACGGCAACGAGGAAGGCAAAAAACCAGTAGGTTTAGGTTAACAAAATAACAACTTTGCACCTGTATCACGCTTTTTTGTAAATTTCTTTGCCGTCGTCGTACGACTACTACGTGAAAGTGCCTAATTTCACGTTTTGTCGAGGACGGGAACACAAGACAGCAACTTTCTTCTTCCTTTCGCCAACTTTGTGACTGTCCTTTAGAATTTAACTCCAACAAAAATTGCCAACATTTGACGAATTAAGCGAGATAGAAAAAGCGTCCTAAAGTTTAAAGCAGCCAGGATTCACATTTTAAGTGACGTTTTCGTAACTAACAACGTATGCATGCCTTCACAGTAAGCAGTAATGTCTTTCCAGTGACTCTATTACTCTGCCCTATACGTTGGCACAAGGAATCCACACTCAACTAGAGATAATCCCTTTCTGGTTCCGTAAAACACCTAGTAATATTGCTTAGTGCGAGAGATGCTAGTACCAATTATTTCTTTCTACAAACCCTGTTTTGGCAAAATTGCTCCACAGCGTCATGAACTTCTTGCTGAATGTTATTTCCGTCTCAGTTGTGTGATTCTTCTGAGCCAGAAGCGGTAAGCCAAATGTGTAAAAATTATCTGCTCCATGAAATATCCCATACCATTCTGGTAATGGAACACCGAACTTAATCTTGGGTGCTATTTCTAGTTGGTAAAAGTACGTTGGAAGTTGCTTCTTCACCAGTAAATTTGCAGACTCTACGGCGGGAGCCTTAAAGTACGAGTCTGTTAATAGATGAATGAACTGCTCGCGTAGCACAATGGGATCGCTGACGTTGGACCAGTCTGTGTATTCATAGATTAGCAGGTCTTCGATTTTCTCAGTCTGGGGTCGAGTCCAAACTCTCTTTCTTATCTGTTCCTCAAATACCTCCCTTGAAATGCCGTTTGAAACGTCGAGAGGTTTCATGAAACCTTTAATAGAATAAGAAAGGTACGAGTATTGATAATAGACACCTAAGTAGAAAATTGAGAAAAGGTGCTAATGACTCTCTAATAAGTTTGAAAAAGGATTTTTTAACTTCCACTGAAGTACGAGTCGTTACAGGATGGACATATTTATTCTGCTAAATGTTTTTGAGACAGTGGTTATAAGAGCAGGTTCTGTTAGCTTACTTAGTAGATACGATTAACTGAAAAGTCGAGTAAATAGAGTAACTTATACGTTCTCATGGAGGTGTTTGGGCCCGAGAGGTCAACATCTCAATCCCTGGATCTGGATGGCTGGGGTTCAAGCCTCGCCAGTCCTTTTGTTTCCTTAGACAAGAGACTTTACTCCTCGTTGTCTCGTTTCTCCCAGGTGTATAAATGGGTACCGGCGACATATTACTGGGGAATAACCCTGCGATGGACTAGCATCCCGTCCAGGGGGTAGTAGCAATACTCCTAGGCATGCTTCATGTTAAGGAAACAGGGATACGCTCCTTAATGTGTTCTCAATCTGTTGCAACACCGAGAAAGACTAAATCGGGTTCAAGTGTAATCATAAAACACCGAACCGGCTAGCACAAATGGTTCGCATATTAAGGTCAGTTGGTTTACTGAGTCTATCTTAAAGACTTTTCTTCTCACAGATCTCCAAGGAAATTGGACTCGTACCTGGGATATCCGCGAGAAAAATATCGCCATCGTCCCGTGTTACTCCAACCATAACATTACTGGCGCTGAATTCTCCAGCTTTTAAGAGCTTTAAAGGAGATTCTAGAATTAAATACATTACGAGAGGTCAGAAAATCAGAATAGCTGTATAAGTGTATGCCTTTGTCGGATTGGATGGTCCTGTCAGGCGTTCTGACTCACGGGGGGAGAATAGGGGAATGGGAGCTCGGGACAGTGGGAACATAACGATCAACTCCAAAGGGCCCGAGGGGGTACTTCCTTATAAGAGGCTAATGGGAAAGTGCCGCTGGATGGGGTCAAATTTCCACCACTGGACGGGTCGCATTTTCAATAGCGTTGCTAGGATGGTGTTGCACATTTTCTGATTTTTGGGGTAGGACAGTTTTTTATTTATATTTAAGATTAGTAAACGTACCAGAATGTTTGTATTGTAGGTGAAAAGTAAAGCGTTCTTAATTCAATGCAGGATAGATACATAAATAGAAAGTGACTAAAACTGGGATCGCGAAAATTACATATTTGCGTAATTATATTACGTATTTATATGGGGTCTATAATTGGCCACAGAATAGACTATGATGAGGTAGGGGCTCTGAGAGGCCAGCGACACATACCCAGCAAAAATTAATCTATGTCCCCCCTCCCCCTCCCCACCAGGGCCGAAAGGTAAATAGCTCGTAACAACACGATTTTTAAGTAAACGAGGTCGTAGAATAACGAAATACTCCGGAAAGGAAAACTTTGTTGTAATAAGGGGTGGTCAGGTGGTGGTCTGTCAGATATAACTCAGCCTTGGAACTTTATCCTCTCTTGCCTTGGATCAGTCTCAGTCTCTCTTTTACTCGCAGGAGATAAAGTAGGGGATTATATTCCTGCCCCACTGATGTAAGGTAGTCCTGACTCTGTAATTTGGGGAATTTTTGCTTGAAAAGGCTTTGGAATCTGGAATGCAGAATCCCGCCAGCTACAGTTGGAGTAAGGAATCAAGTGCCTGGAATCTGGAATCCACTGTCACAGACTCTTTGATTGCCTTACATGGGTCGAACACTCATTCCCGTACCTGGTAAAAAGTATCCATCCACAACTGGACAAAAAGACAAAACATGCTCCTTTGGATATATCTGAATTTGTGCATCAATAATTTCTTGAAATGTTTTCTTCTTTGCGCACTCTTTAAGTGAGGATTCGTCGCATCCCAGTAATTGGGCAAAACGCCTTGAAACGAAATCAGTAATTAATACCACAAGCCTCAGCGCCCCAAAATTTATAAGCTGCTTAGCGTCTGGTTACTATGAAGCCCAGGGGGGATCACTCTAGGGTAGTGTGAGTAGAGGTAGGTATAGGTGTACCACCGAAGTCTTTAATTGCTCTGTTGGTGCCACAAATGGACACCGCTCACCTGCAGCCGTCACACTTCTTAACACTCTTTCCAGTCGAAAAACAAACCCTATTAAAGACGCCACATAGTGAAATTGTCAGAGATTAAATAACCTGTTTAAGACTGAACACCCTGAAAACAATACCCTGCTGTTCAGGGGCACATATCAGATCATTACCGCAGCGCTCGAACTCGAAAAAGATACTTTTTTTAGTCATCTAATTTTTTTAATGTATTTTTTCATGAATTCACCAGATTCTAAATTCACCAATCACATTCCTCTAATCATGCATAAGCACATATGGACATTTCCAGTGCTAGCGGTGACGCAAGATGTTTGACACATGATCCTAGTTTAGTGGCCTTAGGCCCGGCTCAGACGCCGCTCCACTCATGTGCCGAACCTAACTGATGGCAAAAGAGCGGCGTCTGAATCAATTTGGTATGGCAGTTTTAGTTTGGTGCGGCAAAAGAGTAAAGTTCGACAGAGTCCATCGAACTTAACTTAGGCTCGACACAGGTGCACCGTCTGAATCAGATGTCGTGCCAGAGTCGCTCCAAAGTCGAACTTGTTCAATTAGGTTCGGCACATGAAAAGTACGGCGTCTGAACCAGGCCTTAGCTCCCATGACTCTCCTGTAGCTCTGTGATAGAACATCTGGACTTGTTATCAAAAGACCCCTAAGCTCGACTTGTTGAATTTTTGCCCGTTTAGTTGAAGTCTACTAGGTTTCCAGATGGACAAATGTCCGAAAAACAAAAACTAAACACAACGAGTCACAACGTTCACAGTAATCACATGACGAAAAAGGTGCGAGTCTAATTAACAATTATTCCACGAGGGCGCGTTGGATATGAGATGATAGATAGCCAACGAGGCGCGTAGCGCCGAGTTGGTTATAATCATCTCATATCCAACAAGCGCGAGTGGAATAATTGTTTTATTAAAAACGCCCACAAATTCTCGTCGAATCTCCCCGACTAGAACAAACCCGAAAAGACAAGGGACTTCCGCTATTCACATGTCACACGTCTATCAAAACTGTCAACGCGCGAACGGACTCGCCTGGACTGCATGAATGAAAAATCAAAACATTGTAGCGATGAACATTAGTTTTTCAAAAACTCATCGGGATTCTAGGATTTTACAGAGCAGAACAGCTAAAAAACCCTGGCAGATAGTGTGAAGGAAAAGAATTTTTAAGTGACAGCCGTGGAAGTTACTGTGAATTTGGATTTTCGGTGCAGTTATAAAAGTAAGAACAACGGAGAAAAACTATTACCTCGGTCGCTTGTTATGAAGTTGTTTGAAGCCACAAGCTGGTTTTGCTGAACGAGAAAAGAAGCTATACTGCCGCCTCGATTACTCTAGTGAATGGCTGCATAGCCTGTATTTGTAGCTGGTTACTTGTGATTTATATTCTTGATGTCGGATAAACAAGCCGCAGTTCTCTATCGGCGAGTGACTCGATCGGCGAATGGCTTCGCGATCATGAAGAAACACAGTGAGAAACAACACTTGTCTTCTTTCGTAGCTGGTCAAGGTACTTTAGTTCCATGTGTTTTCATGTGTTTTTGTATAAACTTTCAAACAAGCTCTTGTGACTTTTTTGTTTGTTTTTGTCTCTTTTCTTTCGATTAAATTGCATTTCTAGTATTCTAAGAAATGAATTAAAACGATTTGCCTCGGGCGCCGTTCTATCCTTCGCGAAAAAAAATGTCAGCTAGCTTCCAATTTTAAACTGACGCTTACCCCGACCATATGTGGAGAGCATGGTATAATAGCTCATATACCATAACGGCTAAGCCAATCAAGATGCTAGAAGTGCATTATCCAATGATTCAGCTTGTAATCACAATAGAGGCTATGACGTGTCTCGGATAATACACAGTGTCATCAGAATAATTATCATTTAAATGCATAAATAAACGGTTCAGTAAAAATGTCATTTTTCCACACGACTCCTGTTGGAAGTACTCGGACTTATTCTATCGAGCCACCTGTGTCATCGACTGAAAAACTTCAGCACTGCATCAGATAATCTATCGGCTAATTATTCAAGGAGTCAGCTTATTAAAGATAAAATTAGAGGAAAAAGTAACGATAAAACAGCTTCTCGCCTTGATAGTTGACGTTAAACAAAGTATTTTGAAAAATGGGTGGGAAGTTTAGCCCATGCTTAAAAGCATCCCCTACTTCTGACTGTTCACGCACTGTCATTTGACGTTATCGGATTAGTTATGACATTGGTGGGCAGAATGCTAGTAGTTAGTTCTCACTTACCTAATATTTACTACCCTTAAAAGCCCTAAAGTGATCAGCATCAAATTTCTCCTTGTAAAATCAATGCTTTGTAAAACAGGGTTGTCATGAGAGTTACGGACATGACCACATAAGATGAATTTGCTTGATATTTTATCAACTTCTCCGCACTACTTCTGTAGGAAATGAATAGGGGCAACAAATGAGAATTCAAATTTTGATCCCAAGGTTTAAAGAGTTAAAAACCCATGTGCTCTCATCAGAAAAGCTCAAGAGAGCTTGCTGAGGTCTCAGGCCAGTGTAATTGATTTTCGATGTATAGCAGAGTTATGACTTGTTACTCTAAGTGTTATGGTGAATCCAAATTGATACCATAAAGTTGCCTGTATTCATTCATTAAAAAGAAATGCAAAAACATCAGCTCTAATCATAGCAAGCGCTCCCTTTCCTAATCTGTCCCATGTTTTGCGCCTTGTATGAAGACGACATCACTTCGAGCGCCAACCACGTGCACTTTTTGCATGAAAACATGATCATGATAGCGTGAAATTTGATCCCTCTATCAGATTTTCCAGCTGAGATGGCGGAGTTATCATTCGGGTTCTTAGCTGGATACCCAGGTTCCTTTTTTGTTGCTGATTAGAGCGTGAGGCACGTTATGGATGAATTAATCGTCGTTAATGAAACAGATGAAAATTAAAATAACAAATTTCAGACCAATTGAAAGGCCTGGTTTGTAACAAAATTTGTAATACTGCACCTGGCTACGGCGTCTGCCTCATTTCTTCCCTGAGCAGCCCAAAGAACTGCTGCTGTTCCACTCTGCATAATAACGTTCTGGAACAAACCTTGCGTCAGGGGAGACAACATCAACAATCCAACGCATGCTCCACCTGCTGACTCACCAAATATGGTCACTTTGTCGGGGTCGCCACCAAAACTGAACATTTGCAAATGACAACTTTAGAAACAACAACTTAACAATAGTTCTGAGTGATTGCGATCTACAAAGCGTGAAATTTTTTCGTAATAAACAGCCTTTTTTCAAAAACGGATAAGCAAGATTTAATATATTATGAAAGTGTGACTATGGAAATAAGTTCGAGCTTAAAATAATGTACATATCCGATGTATACGTTTTCGGAGAGGTTGTATAAATATGGACACTGAACAAGTGTATAAATTTTAAACTAATTTCAGCATCAATATAAGCCGCATTCCATTTTCTACAAGTTGAGACCCGTCAAGCTAAGAATGAGCAGGCCAAAGTTTGCTCGGCCTTCAAGGAAAAAAATGTCACCCATATAAGAAATCGATTGGGCTCGTTCTCAAGGAACATGAATCAGTCAATTACATATATGCACAGAATAGAAAAACACTTTTAAAAAATGGTATGACTATTCTTGTTGAACTAATAATCATTTTCGCACCATTTATCCTAGTTATCACTCTTGCGTGACTCTATTACTCAGTTGTCTTAGTTCATAGTTGGAAACACTTTCGTACCTCGCGATGTTTTTATTGACCCATTTCATGGCCTCTACTTGATCCATCATGCCATAGTTTCCTTTCAGATCGCTGCTTCTCGAGCTTAAGAAACCAAGAACTCCCAAGCGATACGCTGCTACGACGACAATAACGTTTCCTTCGGTTGCCAACACAGCACCATTGAATGACAAAGTGTCACCTGAAAGAAAAGCTCCGCCATGAATCCAAAGCATCACTGCAAGGCGAGAACCGCTTGTTGCGTTCTCGGGGATGTAAACACTGAGCGTTAGACAGTGTTCTTCGTTGAAGAGAGGGCGTTGGTACTCCGTCCCTTGAAGCACATGCTGAGGACAGACACTGCGTGTCGCATTTGCGTGTAGAGTTGACGTCCACTTGTTTGGTGGAACGGGATCCTCGAAACGCTTCGCCTGGGCGAAAGGGATTCCCAAATAGCTTTTAACAGTCTTGTTTGTCGGTAGTTGGGTTACAGTCCCGCTGACAGGGCCATAAGTTGTCATAACAGTAGGGGCGGTCATTGAATACATGACGATTGCACTCCACTCAGTGATAAGAAGTAACCAAGTCCATGTAATAGAGAGGATAAGAGTGGCGTCACGTTACCAAGGTAGCACCACTTCTGGATGACAACAAAGCCAACGACGACGGCGACGGCAAGGAGAACGGAACAGGAAGGCATTTTGTATGCACATGCGTCAATATGGGCTGTTGAAGAGCCACAGAGGCATTTTCCGTGAATTGTTTACGTTCAGTACCAGCATTTGCAGGCTGTTTTCTGGAGCTGAATGACGTGCATTGGGTGCTACGTTCCACAAACATGTTCCTTAAGGTATGGAGGTATTTCTACGATGAAAGTGAGTTTATTGTAGCCTCGCTGTCGCCCTTGAGGACAGTCTTTTCAGTCTCTTCTCAATAGTATAACTCTAAAATCGAACTTAATCGTTTCAGGAATACATGGTTAATTAAGTGTCTATTCTGCCGTGAAACTGTTTTTCACCCTTTCGCTGGCTTGTTTATCTCGAAATCTTGCCTTTCTCCTCAGATTAAGTTAATGATTAATGAAACTAAGAATACTTCCGCGAATGAATGGGGCTTTGATGAAGGCTGTAAAAATCGCCTTCTGCATTAATTTTAGCTTTCTTCTCCGGTACGTCTTCGTTGAGAAATAAAATACACGCACTTCAACTATAAATTTAAATCAATATAATGATGCCAGTAAGATTGTGTTTTGAAAATAAGAATATTCTATCATGTAGTTATACAAAGGAAAAAAATTACAGCAATCGGTTTGAATTCTGATTTTTTCCACCTTATTTTGATGGTTCACTGTTTTTTTTTTCATTATGCAAATAAATATAACATTTTGGCGTTTAAAGAAAATCTATCCTTACTCCCCAACCCCAAAATAGCACGAAACGAAACGTTATCAGTCGCATTTATTCCTAAATGATACCATTTTGTGGATACTACATTTGTTGATATGCTAATTTGTGAGAAATTTCATTCACGAAGGATTTTGACTGAGACCATCTCTCTGTTTTGAACCACATTCTTGTTTAATGCATCAGTTTCTGCCTGATAATTGCATGCACAACTTACATAAGGGGTTTATCTGGATACAGTAAAATGCTCTCAACAGAAACATTAATAACAGACAAATTCATCAGGGGCACCCAACGACAATTTTCGGAAAATATCTGTTCGGAAGACGATTTGAGATCTAAACTTTTCGGAACATTTGTTGTCAAATTTCTTACTTGCCTGCCTCTCCTAGGATTTTCGAACAGCCCCAAAATGGTATAATTGCCCATTTTTAACGGATTTTTACCCTAAAAAGGTCACCTAGAATTTTCGGGAGCCTTTTTCTGGCTGAAATGTTCGAAAAGGTAAGTTTTGATCCCTAGAATTTTCGGATCACTAGACTTTCCGCTAGGAGATCCGAACAGATGAAAAATTTTTAGGGGATAAAAATATGCCTATATCTACCGTTTAAATACTAAAATCCGTTCAAAAATGCTGTTTTTAAGTGGTTTTGAACTATATTCTCGTTGGGTGCCCCTGATTCATCCATCCATTTGTGTCATGTTTGTCGTCGCATCCCAGCTCATTTGGGTCCTTTAGCAGAAGTATTTATTTTTTGAGGAAACAGCATTATATGCACCCCTTTAACAAACTTCCTATCTTATGTTCAAAGAGGATTTGAAGGTGAACAACATCGTCAGTTAGATTTATGGAGTGATGGCCATTCTCTGTTTTGAAGGGATCACTACTGTCATCAAATATAAATTAATAACAAGAAATCGATTGTGGAACACAGGAGCTGTCACTCAAGAGTCGCTTCAAAATAGTAGCTTAGGAAAAATCTCTGTATCTTTTATTAGAGTTAAAGAAAAATCAAAGTATTGTTCGTTTTCTCGGAATATGTGCATTCGTTTTGTCTGCAACTGAGCTTATGAAATGCTCAAGTGATTATGTGCTGCATAATCACTTGTATTGTTGCTGTCTCAAACTCAATCCTTTCTTCATTTCCTATAGAATATTTTTATACATTTTTCCTCGAAAACTTTCGAAAAACTGTAAAAACCCCATAGATTTCATGTTTTTGTAGCGTATATAAACGCTTGTCTCCGCGATCAGTTTAAGATGAGACATCGCGCTAATAAATAAACCTCGCGTGGTACTTTTTTTTTCGCTTTTTGTCTTAAAGCAGCTGAACATTGCTACGATGAATTTCCTCCTTGATAAGTAAAACCGCGAGTTTGGAAATCAAACCATAGAAATGCATTGCTTTGCCAGTGAAAATCAGACTTATACAGGAACATGACTTTTTGGCGTCTTGAAAGTCTTTAAAGCCTTGAAAGTCTTTAAAAGGCCTAGAAAACCTACTGCTAAAAAAATCTACGAATGAAAACCCGCGCAGAAAACGTCCGATTTTTGTCATGGAGAATATTTTTTGTAGGGAAGAAGGGTATTCAAAGCACCAACGAAATGGCTTTTAAAAGGACTGTAACTTTACGCGCGAGTTTTCGATTTCCCGCCATCAGATTTTGATGCGCCCACGCTATTGTCGGATTCACGCATGCGCATGCAAAATGCCCTCTTGTTGGAGAACAGCAAAAGATAATATGTTTATATTAACAAACAACAACTTTGCACGTGCATCACGCTATTTTGAACATTTCTTTGCCGTCGTTGCACCGCTACGACATGAAACTTCCTGATGTCACGAGCCCGCTTTATGAAGTAGGTGAAAACAACACAAAAATTGTCGCTTGCTTTTTCTAAACTTAGATAATGATAGATACGGTCCCAAAGAAATTTTCGCCGAGTTTTGCCAAATTAAATGAAACTGAATAAGATCGGTGAAGTTTGAAATAGTGCGAATAGGCTTTTAAGTGACTTTGGCGGTTTGTTGTCATCCAAAAATGCTGCTACCATGGCAACGTGACGTAATAACTTGTCCTCTCTATTCTTATGTAATAGCTGACTCTACCCCAGGAGACTGAGAGACGACTAAGAACGAGTTAGATCACGTGCTTTTATTGCGGGGGATGACGCGGGAGACTGAAGAAGTCATTAAAACAAAAACTGAATGCTAGGCTGGCACTACGGCAAAGGCCTGAGGGCCTGAGCTATTGCCCGAAGTAATAGCGGAGCCCTAAGGACCCTACGATAAAAAAATTTGGGAAATTATGGATCCGAGAAAATTTGGTTATGGGCGTCAGCGTACGACCGAACGCGTACCGTCCGTACAGACTCTGAGGATAGGGGTAAAAAATACTTCTCAGGGTAGGGAAGGGAATCCCAGACGCGTATCTTGCGTTTCGCTTTGGCGCGAAATTAATCATTTTAGGGGCAACCAATGGATCTTGTACTCGAATGGCGACAAAATTTTGCGAAAAAGGGCTTTGATTTTTTCTTGATCACGCTTTTGGTCACGCTACAGGAGCAACCTAGTCTCTTCTCCCCCTCGTGGTCAAAATTTGGACAGGTAAATCAATGAATGAAACTTATGCAACATCAAATCTATTACCCTGGTTTCACTCGAACGAAATATATATCGTGTAATGCTAAGCGGCGACGGCAACGAAAACGGCCAAGAAAATCGATAGGTCTAATTAGTAAAATAACAAGTTTGCACGTGCAGCACACTTGTTTTTGTATTTTTCTTTGCCTTTATTTCGCACGACTACAACGTAAAACTTCCAGAAACTTTCTAGTTACAACTTTTATGGAGGAAATGTCATATATGTTCTTGTTTACTTTTTTTCACTACCGCTCAGTATAGTATATAAATGGACGCTTCACTTTTAGCCTTGGCTAAACCTATATATTAACCTGTCTTCATGTTTAAGGTGGCGGTACTGGTAGCCTGTGTGCCTGAAGGAGCTTCTGAGTCCGCCACACAGTTGTTCTTTGATATAGGCTAATTCATGAGTGTATGAATGACATAGACAGAGAAGTTTTAAAAACCTTAGGTGTATTAAATAATTGATGAGGTACGGTTTGGTCCTCTGAATTCGAAACGTCCTATGTGCTATAAGCTTAAAGTAAAACTGGCTTCAATCTCCTTTCCCTGATGCCTTCGCTTGTGGCATATTACGATTAGGACAACAAGTAAGATTACAGCTACAGCTCCAAATACTCCTGTCAAACTGACGAGTATCATCATTAAAGTATCTAAACGTGAGAAAAAAAACCCAATAAGTGAATTAATTAGTTCGCCAGTTATGGCGTGGACACCCTCACAACCAATTTACTTTTGATAGTAGTGAGTCTCTCTAGGTAGTCAGCAGTCCCTTATCTTCAGCAAAGCGAGCGACACACACCCGGGCAGATGGAAATCGCCACGGTATTATACCATACTGAACTATATTCACATGTTTTACTGTACTTAAGGAAAATAAGGGACCAATCCACGTAGCAATCCCTTCTCCTCACAACTCATAAAATGAAATACCGCACAAGTCTTTGCCTCCCGTTTTCGTCTCGTCACGCAACTCTCCTCTTCTCGGGAGGAGTGTTGCGTGACGAGACAAAACGGCTGCCAGGGGACCACACAAGTCTCATATTAATTTGTATAAGAGATCACCACCTATCCAAAACTCCAAAAATTTCCAGTGAAGCGTTATTGGCTGGACCCTTACGTAAAACACGTTATTTTTATTTCACGTTGTCGTAAACCTATTGTAAGAGACCACTTGCAACACAGAGTAACAAATTTAAAATGCCACACTACTCGGAGTATAAAGACAAATTGCCCAAACGGGACCTCTTAAAATCAGTCAAGTTTATTAACGGCATTAACCCTGAATAAAATAAATTGGAGGGAAATACTAGGGATAACTGGGATGACTAGGGAAGACGTGGGATGACTTAGGATGACTGGGATGACAACGGATGACTAGGGATGACTAGGGATGATTAGGGATGACTAGGAATGACTAAGAATGACTAGGGATGACTAGGATGACTAGGGATGACTAGGATGACTAGGGATAACTAGGATGACTAGGGATGACTAGGG